GAAAATTAAACGGCAAACAAAAGCGGCCACAATAAACACAAGACCGCTCCGCGTCCATAAATCAGCGCCGAGGAAAGCGCCCATTAAAAATCGTCCCCTCGATGTAGTGGAGCTCGACGGCGAAGCAGCGGAACAGTTTAAAAAAGCTCTGCTATCACAAAAATAAACTCAGCGCCGACCCCTATGATTCCCAACCGGTTCAGGCTCTGCCCGAGTGGTAGTCCGCTCGCCGCTGGGGCTGAATTGCGAGACGTGAAGATTGGGCCAGGTCTTGCTATACGATGCTTGAGGGCCTTGTTCTCCCAACCAATATGTTACGACTTACGGAACAGCCTTGAGAAAATCTGATCTCGCTTTATAATTTATAAATACATATATTGCAAATGGGAATGCATTTGGTTAGGCAAGTTATGGCTTCTCGAGTGATGAATGCGAATAATGATTGACAAACCACCTAATTGGGAGACCCCACTGAAAGCTGTCGAGTTCGATAATTACTAATCAATGCAAACATGCCGAAAAAACAAAGCACCAACACTTGTTGTGGGTGTGTGGGAGCACTCGAGTGCAACTACAGTACACCTGCACCGATGCTAATAAGATGCCTAAATATAGATGCTTACACACATGCCATCCCGTGAATCGAATCGAATCGAATGGAATCGAATGGAATCGCTTGTGATGAGCGAATTATTAATTATCAACAATGGGCAACGGCAACAGTGAAGAAAAACAATTTCATTCCCGTGTATCTCTTGGCCAGCTGGGTGAAACAATGCAAATACGTAAGCAGATCGATACGTAACAGGCGAAATATCCAAACATCTAGCTTTATTTGTTTTGTTGATTTTTAATAAACATAGAAGACATAAACAGGGAAATATCTACGGGTTGAGCATAATGCGCAGCGAACAGGTGATAAAAACAGGTGATTCCGTAGGCGATTCGTGAACTTTAACAAGATATTTAATAATACCTGAGACAGAGTTCAAGGCCTCATCAGTTAAAGAATCAAGTGCATGACTTGATTTTCCGACTTTTGATTAGCATTTCCAACTAAACGATGGGAATTATTATATATAAGAACATATATTTGCAGAATTAGGAATTATGTTACCAACTTGTGCTGGAAAAAAGAGAACTTTTGCAGGCAAGTTTATTAACTAATCATAGATGAGAATTTTTGCTATATAAAAAATATCCTCCAGCTAGTCGTGAGCGTTCCAAACTCATTGAACAATGGTGTGGGTCAAGAGTGTTTGGTAATGTTTTAAAATTAGCCGCTTGGCCGCTTGTCTGGCTTTCCAATCGCCCGTGAAATAACTCTTATAAATAGCCAAATTGCTTCTATTGGATCGTATAATCGCGGCGATCTTAGCCTGATATGATTCGATGTTATGACCAAAATGGCGATTAATGCAGATCGTAAACTGTAACTGCACACACAATGGCATCGAACGGGAATTGAGGTGTGGAACTGCACCCGGAAACAAATCTGAAATCGAAGCTGATCAATAAATTGGCTAACGGCAGGCAGCTGGTGCCGCTGGCCATAATAAACCAATTGTCAAACTGTCAAATTCCAAGCACCCTGTCTGCACTCGCATAAATAAAATACTTTGGCGAATAAACAATTGCCGACACCTCTGTCTCTTTACGTGTTAATATAATAATTCGTTTTCAATGTCAGAGAGTATTTAAATTGCATAAAACAAAACAAACGCCCTGCACTTGATGCCCGGCAATTGTGGGGGTAATTGAAACGAATCGAGTATTTGAAATATTAAACAAAAATATGCCAAAAAAGGAACGATGTCTTTTATTGCCCGCTGACCCCATCTTCCCCCAGATGTGTTTGTTATTTGTGGCTGCCGACTGACCAGAAATTCTCCCAATTACACACACAGAAATTAATTCAATTGGGTTTGTGGCCACACATTTCCCTGATGACTCGGTGACAAGTTGGATCGATTTCGTCACTGGAACTTGACCAACATTCCCGGAATCCAAACTGATGCGAATATTGCGTGCCAAACGTTGGGTGAAAACCTTGAAGAAACATTGATTAGTAGTCAAAATGGTCCGAAATGGAGAGAAATTCCTCACATACCTAAGCGAAATTTTCGTGAAATTGTGAAAACATCCAAAGACCTCTATATTTCAAGTGCATTTCACGGGAATTGTGCCGAAAAATATATTGAATAAATCGATCAGATCAAGGTTGCACTTTCAGCTGATGGGGATCGGGGGGAAAACAGAAATTCCTTTGGGGTTTATAATCCATTAATTGTTTCGCCAACAAGTTCAAAATTCCCATTCCGCCACTGCTCATAAACAAAGACAACGTTCGTAAAAGAGGCGAGCAAATAAATACACTTTTTAATGATCAGCAAATTGATTATGGATAGATGAAAATGCCTTGGAAATTCTCAATGAATTCGGGAAAATATTTATGCATTCTTTTAGTACATTTACTTGGCAATTCATTCGCTTTGGAAACGATTAACCACAGTTATTAATTTCAGTAAATAGCCGCATTCGCCGCTAAATGAGCCAAAAGAAATTTCAACAAAACGAAAATAATATATTTATGAATGCGAAGCTGAAGCTTCTTTGGAATCTAGTGACAGGGAGCCGATTAAAATTCCAATCGGCGACTTCCTAGACAATACGAGGCATTCATTCATCGAGGGGGAATCTCCCGATTTATGGCCAAAGTTTCCACATTTTTATGTCGTTCCACTTATCTATCAGTATAAGGGTTGGCGCTATGACGAAACAATATCAATCTGTCCCCAAATTGAACAATGTAAATCGTATTGATAAACATCCGCGATAAGGGAGTTACATGACAGGTGGGATTGGCATTGGTTTTGGCCTGTTCTTGAACTACTTTCCACTCTTCCGCCTCGTCCGATTCCAGGTCCAAGTCCGTTCAATTTAAAGGCCAACAATATGACATAAATGCTTCGGAATGCCAGCAATCTATCGGGGCGTACGAGTGCGTACAGTGCCGGAATATCAATAAAAACGTATTTTGGCCAAAAAAAACAACACCAAGTACTCAGCATAGCCGTCGCGCACAAATAATGCTGATCAGGGGGCCAATTAAATGGTGGCATAATTATGTATAAATACTCGCTAATTGATTGCCCGGCTCAAGTCAGGCATTCGCGATGATAAGGCAGGCACTCGGGCGTGTTTAATGACTTCATTACCTGGCCAGATTGTCATCAGTCTCTCACGTTGATCATCATTCATCACATCATGGGCATTACACATGCCGACTAACCAAGTAACGAGTTCCAGAGTGCAGTCACATCTGGACAATTGTCGTGCTGTCACCGGTTACTTGGTAATAGCCAAAGTTTAAATTCAAATATTCTTGCATTACTCATGCCACTGAAATTCCACTGAGAGCACTGGTAAACAGATAAGACTAACTATATACCGAGTAGTTCCTATTGCGAATCCAAGCCTTATCTAAGGCATTCCCTGAGGCATTCTCATTTCTTATCCAAGGCCTGTCAGCTTAGTGGGATTATGAGCTAATGGACAGGGAGAAAGGGGAAATTAAAGACAGCCAAAAACCGCTTTTGGACTTGACCATTAGGCGACACATTCGCTCCGGTTTCCATCCATCTTTTGTCCACGCCAGAGACCAGAGATCGTAATTTGGCTTGAAGCGGTCAGAAATCGCTCATAAAACTCAAGTTTAATGTCATGCAAATCGCTCCGTCGGGCGACAGAGCGACTTAATGTCGTCTGATGGCTTTATTTCACACATCGAGGACTGGACTTGTTGCCCATTCAGCGATGGCTTTCGGCTTTCCCAATTTTTGTTAGGCTAATTCCTAGAGTACGTCGTAGAAGTGATTCATATTAATAGCCAATAATAAGTAGGAAATGTTGTGAATCATTTTTGTTTGGGCTATTTTGGTGTGTAACTTCCTGGCATTCCATAGGCATAATTCGGATTAGTTTACTCCTCCGACTCGGAGGGCCTCATCGATAAACAAATAAAGGTTGTTTGTTTTCTGCGTAATGGAAACGCTCCAATTGGATCATCGTCATCATCATCCGCCCGTCGATGACGAAGTCAGTTAACTGGGCAAACTGTGGAGACATTTGCAATTGCAAAGCTCTTAATGATAATTGCCAGGCATTCGATGCCAAGCGAAATAGCAGACAGATTAGCGATGATCGCATGCCCGAACTGGATCAGATGGCTTGGGGGATATGGTTACCAGGGAAAGATATGAATATCTGTGCAGATGGCTCCCATTGATACCCTATCCATATCAATATCAATTTCGCACTGATTTGCCAAAAAAAATATGAAGACATGCCTGGGCCAATTTAATTTGATTCGATTATGGTTTGCAGGCCTTGAACTCGAATTGGGCCCCAATTATCATACCGGTTATATCTTATCAATTTCGGGGGAGCCAGATAAGAGCAAACAATAACAATAACAAACTGCGCATAAAATAATGCCGGAGGAATGTGCCCTCGAAATTGGGTTCGAGATGATCTCCGACCTGTCCTAGCTAGATGTGCAAATCAAGATATCCACCCACAGACTTTCCCACAGCAGCAGCTGCTTTCATTCCGCCGCCACTTGCCAAATTCGGGCAAACACTTTGCCCCCGAAATACCTTGAGATTCGGTACGTTCTGTTGGCCCATCAGATACGGATGCCCATGACGTATACGCCACAGTGGCTGTGGCTGTGGCTGTGACTGTGACTGTGACTGTGACTGTGGCAGTAACAGTAACAGCGGGAGAGCGTGCGAGCGAGCCAGCGAGAGCTTTCTTCATCCCTCCCTTTTCGACCACCTACGCCACAGATCGAGCAGCAGCAGCAGCAGCAGCAGCAGCAGCAACAGCAGCAGCAGCAGCAGCAGCAACAGCAGCGACGCTGCTAGCAGCAACAATAACAGAAGCAGCTACGTTATGTGGTGGCCCATAGTTCTAACTGAATTCAGTCAGCAGCGAGCCGCGATCGGAGTAGGAACAGCGCGATAAGGAAATTAAATATACTAAATCCGTTCAAAATCGTACCCCATCGAACCGACAAAGAACCAATAAAAAGAAGGCAAAGCAAAAATAAAACCATTATTGGCCCTAAAAGTGCGGAATTGTGCAAAGTTATCAAAATGTTAGTATTGCGTACACAGAGTCGCCAGTTTTTTGTTTACCAGACTGCTGTGTCAGCAAACAGGAGATTGTTTGGAGTTCAATTTAATGCCTGACATTCCGAGTATCTGCGGTAAACATTGGTGTTCCTGTTAGAGCAGATCGACCGCTATCGCCAAACAGTGTGACAACGAATCTTAGGGATTTACTAGCTTGGCTTGGACCAATATTTTTCCTAAAATAGATCTTTTTTGTCAGAGAACTCTAGAATGCCAACTTCCCAAACTACAATTCAATTAAATTCTCCTGTTGCTTATTTTTCACGCCAAAAACTTTATGACCAATTGGCTTGGTCGATTAATTATCAAACGCGAACTTTCAAATTAATTATCACTAAATTAAAAACGGGTTCAGCATTAGCCAAAAAAAAGAAAACACTCAAAAAACAAAACCGAATAATATGCCAAAAGGGGTGGGGAGAATGTTTGAACACCTTCGCAAGATACCTTTGTGTTTGGCCCCCGACACTCGTGATTCAGAAAATATCTTCTGCTAATTGAATTCTCGACGAAAATACAAACAAACAGTTTTGGGCTGAGACAGCAACCAACAGGCGAAACAGGAAAACCTATTTGCAATTTGCATTTATTTATGAAACTTGGGCTTTGCGCGTCGTCTTGTCTCAAAAATAAACAAGTTTCATCTTCGTGTCCGTCTCTAGAACAGAGTCGGAATCTGAATCGGAATTATCAACGTATTAAAACATGATATAAGGGGGCTCTTTCGAGAGTGATTCTTCTGGACTTTTCGTTCTCCGCTTTTCGCTTGGTGTGTGCGCAAAATTTGAATTCGTTGTCGAATCGAAAATACAAAAAAAAAAATACAGAATGGCCAAAAAGTGGGGGAAAAGAAACGTTTTTGTTTGGACCGTGGACAGGGTTTCGGGGATTGCGGATCGTGGATCGACAAACTAATCATAGCTGGCGTCATCGAAGTATATATAGCGGAGCTAACTGTTAACTGTTTGTCTGTGCACGGCCAGAGAATTTCTGATGAGGAACAGCCCGTATCCGCGAGATGTACAAATTAATTATCCCACCCGAACGGGTTATCAAGCCCGCCGCCTTCTCTCCTCATTTGCCTAATTTTTTGGCCGTGTTGCACGGGTCGTATGCGCGATATTTGACTGGCTAATTGCTGACAAATCGCAGGCCGCTTATCTAGATTTACTTCGCTTATGATAACAATCGAGAAAGATTTAAATAACTGAAAATTATTGCCCACTCTCTCCGGTTTAGTTGCTGCTGAGAAGCCATTCGAGAAGCCATGACGATCAAGAGCGCCCAGCTTATGGGGCTCCTGGCCCTTCTAATGGGCGTGGTCAGCGCCTTCGATCACACCCTGCGGCAGGACTTTCCGGGTCCCTACTGCGCCCTGCGCAACACCTGCTGCAAGGAGAGGCACGACGGCTGCTCGATGCCCATCTCCAGTGAGTATAATTAGCTTTATGGAATCTAACAGAGATTAGTCACAGAAATCCCTCCATGTCTTGATACAACACTTAAATATTATATTATTATTTAACTTAAAACTCACCCATTTCCGCTTTTTGTTGACTTCGCCTTGTCCTTTTGCAGCCACCCTTTGCTACTGTGATGAGTTCTGCGATCGCAGTGATTCCAGTGACTGCTGTCCCGACTACCGTTCCTTCTGCTTCGGAGAGTCCGATCCCATCCTCTCCTGCGAGCACAACGGCGTCTACTTCTCCAAGTTCAACAGCACTTGGGACAACTGCAACGAATGCCGCTGCCTGGATGGCGGTCGTGTGGAGTGCGACAGGGACCTCTGCTTGACCGACGACGAGCTCATCAATGGAGTGAACTCCATCCACCGCCTTGGCTGGTCCGCCCGCAAATATGACGAGTGGTGGGGACGCAAATACGCCGAGGGACTGCGCCTCCGACTGGGCACCAAGGAGCCCACGTTCCGCGTGAAGGCGATGTCTCGACTGAGCAATCCCACCGACGGCCTGCCCCCCGCCTTCAACTCCGTGGATAAGTGGTCCAGCTACATCTCAGAGGTGCCCGATCAGGGCTGGTGCGGCTCCTCCTGGGTGCTGTCCACCACCTCGGTGGCCAGCGACCGCTTTGCCATCCAGAGCAAGGGCAAGGAGGCGGTTAAGCTCTCCCCCAGAACATTCTCTCCTGCGCACGTCGCCAGCAGGGCTGCGAGGGTGGACACCTGGACGCCGCCTGGCGCTACCTGCACAAGAAGGGCGTGGTCGATGAGGATTGTTTCCCGTACACCCAGCACCGTGACACCTGCAAAATCCGCCACAATAGCCGCACGCTGAGTGCCAATGGCTGCAGGCCTGCTCCCAATGTGGACCGCGACAGCTTGTACACGGTGGGACCAGCCTACAGTCTTAATCGCGAAGGCGACATCATGGCCGAGATCTACCACTCCGGCCCCGTCCAGGCCACCATGCATGTGTACCGTGACTTCTTTGCGTACTCGGGCGGCATCTATCGTCGGACGGCTGCCAACCGTGAGTCTCCCAAGGGCTTCCACTCGGTCAAGCTGGTCGGCTGGGGAGAGGAGCACAACGGTGACAAGTACTGGGTGAGTGTTTGTAGGACACATTAGAATTGGATTTATCCATAATAACTAATTATTTACTTACAAACAGATTGCAGCCAACTCTTGGGGTCCGTGGTGGGGCGAGCGCGGATATTTCCGCATCCTGCGGGGCAGTAACGAGTGCGGCATCGAGGAGTACGTCCTGGCCTCGTGGCCCTACGTCTACAACTACTACAACGCGAAGGCGCCGAAATAGGGCGCAGGATAGGCCCCATTAGCCGCCTCGCACAGAAAACAATCTCGAGCTATGTATGCAGTAACGAAAACAGATTTATCTCATGCTTCAAAATTTTCCATTTGCTATATGGCACTCAAAGTGAATTAGGCGCTTCTATCTGTAACGTTTATGCTTAGAACCTAGTGACTAAAATGATTAGCTTTAAGTTGCGCGAACGCACAGTTAACTGCCCGCAGTACCAGACCACCACCTCCTTCCTCTCTGTCTCCCCCACTAACTGGACTCGAAGCAACACGAAACTGCCACATAACCACCACCATCCCCGGATACTGCCACATCAGCCAGAGTACGAACACCCGGCACCCTTGCAGCGCATGTGATCATTGACGGAATGAAGAGTATTGGATCGGCGAGAGTCTGTAGTGCGCACACTCTGCGTGCATTGTAAATGGAAGCTAAGTTAACTGATTGATAGACCGATGGAACTTGTTCGGCTTATATATTTTTAATAAACGAATTACTTTACATGTTACCGATGACGGGTTTCAGGCCACAAATCTGGGTGAATCTTTCGCGAAATCAGTTTGGTCTTAACTTTAATTGTAATACATCGTGAACCCATTCGATAATCGTATATAAGATTGTATAATTTTTGTTTGTTTAACAAGATTTTCACATTATTTTGTAGGGAAGGATAGGGCATTGGTATAGGGTAGGTAGGGGGTTAAATGTAGTAAAGTAAAAATCTTCTGTGGGGTTATTTACGCGTAGCTATCATACTAGATAAATGAGGAAAATAATCAAGAATGTTTTAACTTTGCACTTACGAATACGAAATCGAAATCAAATTGACAAAACAAAAGTCAGCAAGCACACTCTACTGGTCGGTCGAAGGCCCACAACTTTCCTAACCATGGAATTTCAACGTTTCTCACACGACAATTTGGATACTCTCGCCGAGCAGAGGGTTCGCTCTTCGAGACCCGCAAGACGTGTCCGATCTGGGTAGATTGGGCTAATTGAGAGTGATGCCCGCAAAGGATACCTCCAGCGTCGAATCATTGGACTCCATTCGACTGCGTATGTGCGCCAGTGTGTTCTTGTAATGGCTCTCGATCTGCTTGGTCTCCTCGCTAGGTTCAAGGTTGGGCAGCTCCTCGTTGACCTTGGCGATTAGCTGAATATAACAAAATATATCATTCGACTTTGTGGGTATTTCATAATAAAAATCGCAATCACCTGATTAAGCATGGCCACGGTGATGAGCGAATTGCCACGCTCAAAGTAAAACAGATAGTGATTCAGCAGCTCCACATACAATTGCACCTGCACTCCGGTATCCAGGCACTGCGAGGCAATTCGAGCTCCCTTCTTCAGGCAGTCCAGAGTGCGCTTCTCGTCCCGCATCTCCTCACCGTTTTGCCTACAGCACAATTATTTCATAAGAAAACATTATAGGAATAGCATTAAGATTCTACTCACTTTCCACTCCAAAACAGCGCTGCACAGGCCACAACGCCACGACATTGATCCGGCTTTTTCAGCAATTTGGAGGCGGCCAGCGCACAGTTGGTTCTTAATGGCTCGGCATTCTCCTCGCTGAAGCAGGACATTTGCTCGAATGTGGACATAATAAGTGTTATGGCCGCCAGCTGGGCCTTCGAGTCGGAGATCTCGTCCTCGTACAGGGAGAACGCCTGGGTCATAAACTCGTACGCCACCGTCTCATGGTTCGTATAGCCAATCTCTCCGATTACCAAGGCACCTTGCAGATACAGACGCAAGGCTAAGTCGGCCAGATCAGCCTTGGCCAGGGCACTTATGGTGCTGTGGCAATACTGCACGATCTTCTGGCATTTCTTGTCCCAGTTCTCGTCCTGCTCGGCAATGGCTTTGTATTTGAACGACAGCTGATAGGCGGCAAAAACGAGCGGCGGTAGGACGTGCTTCAGCCGTGAGCCGCCACCATTTCCGAGATGTTTGCGAGCGGTCTGCAGCATTTTGTACTGCATATCGGGTTCATCGGAGCGCATCAGATGGATAAATCTAAAATTGGGGAGTGTGGTAGTATTTCAATAAAAATGTATCATATAAATGAGACGACATTACCGTGCCACTACTCCCTGCTCCTCTGCAAACTCCTCGGCATCTGGACTGCTGCTGCCTGCTACCGCTGCTGGGTTGTCTTTGTTCGAGTCATCGTCCTTGATCAGCGGCGTGATAATGGTCAGCAGGCTGTCCGCCTGATCAGCCGTGGGCACCAGCGTCTCGTTGTCAAGGATATTCATAACCAGATACAGTGCCAGGGATTTCCGTGAGGTGTAGTCAAACTTTTCCAGCAGCGGGCAGAAGTTGTGTAGCTGGATAATGGTCAGTGCGTTGTTGTAGAAGTCAATGCAGATTCTCAGAAGGCGAGACAGCTCCTGGTTCACAGACAACAGATGGGAGATGCTATAAAGACGGTAAATAAGTTATTAAACACACAGATAATATATTTATACCACCCACTTGTTCATGTTCATACGTTGCAGTATTTGCGCGGTTGTGCCCAGCACCTTGTCCACGTAATCCACACGATCGGGGTACACCTTTTGAGCCAGGCTCAGTAGGGCAACCTGCAGCGAAATAGTATCCTCCAAGGGCATATCCATGCGCGTCTGCACAATGTTGGCCACCTGAACGCTAAACACCTCGAAGAGCTCCACTTCGGCGGGTATAATGGCATCAATGGCATTGCCACTGGTCTGAAAGAGCAGGATGTTTAATATTCAGACACAGAGGCTGTCTAGTCATAATTACCTTGCCACTACGCTGGTTGTAGGCTGCCAACCGCTCAATTAGCGATATAATGATGTTCTTCACGTTTACGCCAGTCTCCAGCTGAGCGCAGGACTTGAGGAAAGGATCCAGGGTTTGCAGGTGAAACTCGTCGGGGAACACTTGAATGATGCACTCCATGAGGTACTCCTGAGCTATGGCATCCCGGCAACTGACCACCTGCTCCAGAATGCCCGGCAGAATCAGGCGCTGGTACGTCTCCAGGGTGGCAGACTCCAGCTGCGACAGACGCACCAGATTAGTGCCCACCAATATCTTGAGTTCCTCTCGCTCCTTCTCGCGCCTGGTCTTTTCGCTGGAATGGCCCTGGTGCTGCATGCGTACCCACAGCTTGTTCATCTCGGCGAAGTTGGTTAGCACAAAGTCGATGGCGTCGTATACGTTGCCCTCGTGCTCGTTTTCCGCTACCATCACGTCGGGCAGGATGTTGCGGGTGCACTGCAGCAGGTAGTTCCGCAGAAATAGGCCCCTCAGTGGGTGCTGCACCCCGCGGCACATCTCCACCAAATCCTTGAGAATGCTGCGCTTGAGCGTGGCGTCATTTTTGATGTACACAATGCCCACGGTGATGAGCAGGTACAGGCGGGGCACAATGGTGTGCGAGTACTGGACCAATTCATACAGATCGGTCTTCTTGTCGCTCTTCTCGCTGAGGTACAGCTCCAGGTGGCACAGCTCATTGGTGACGGCCATGTCTGCAATAGAGATAAGGTTGCAGGTGGAGTTGAAAACCCTTCGGATCCATGGATACTTACACAGCTCGTAGTAGCTCTTGGGCGAGAGCAGGGAAGTCCGCAGCTCGCTCAGCATCGTGCTGGCACACTTGAGGGAGTCCAGCATGCGCTCCTTGTCCAGGAAGTGATTCATCTGAAAGGCCTGCTTGCGCGCCGCTCCGATCGCCTCGCCGAGCAGCTTTTCCTGGTCATCCAAACCATTCGGCATGGTCTGGAACGAGAGACGGCACACAACATTACTCTCTGATGCCGACATGGTGCGAGTGTTGAGCCGACAGCTCGAGATAAGCCTTCTTCGCCGGAGGACCAACCGAGTAGCCGATGATAAGAGGGACAGAGCGAGAAAGAGAGACAAAGAGAGCGGGCGAGCACATCCGCAGCAGACTGCACCCGTTCCATCCGAGCGGAGTCTGTGCGGAGAAGTGGCGTGGCTGCTGTTGTCGCTGCTGTGGAGTTGGAGTATTTACCCGGAAGTCGTGGGCAGAACTGGGTGCCGGGCCGCCGTACGAGGACGAGCTCCAGGGGTACATGGTGGGGGCGTTGCTGCTTTTCTCCGCCGCCGCTCTCTCCTCTTCGTCACAGCGGTGTTTCGAGTAGTTGGTTTCGGTTTTCGCTTCCGCTGGACAGTCCTCGCTTCCCGGCTGCTTTCGGCTATAAGGCAGCTATGGAGACACTTACCATTTCAGCAGCGTGGGGGCGGAATCAAGAATTTAATTATTTGCAATTGAAGTCAGGATTTGCCAGCAAAACAGTGTGACCGCGCCGCGTAGCGAGCTAAATAACATCGATTGTTATCGATAGCTTTTTATCGGTAGTTGCACAGCTTTCTATGCACTGCTTTGTGTAACTGCTAAAAATTAACATAAATGTTAGCTAGCGGTTTCTTTTTCAAATATTCTGTTATTAACGGTCGCTATAGTAACGAAAGCATCTCAATGTGCAAGAATTTTAGAAAAAATGGTAGGAAATTTAATTTTTAAAATTAAAATTTTTCCATTTTATAAATAAAACACTTCATATGAAACTTTGAAATCGAACTTTTTCACATTTATTATACACTCATTAGACATATAATTTCGGAGCGAGAAAAAATTGAAACATGCACTCAACTGAATATTTCTTCGCCACTCGGCCAGTTCTTACGTTAATGGCTGACTTTTGCTTCCCTTATATAAAGTGTTGTACAATCTGTGCAAATCGAGAGTGTGGATCTATATCACTGTCCTATATGGTAATTGGTTAGCGGCTCGAATTCACATTTACTGATGGTTGAGCGAGAATAATACACAGAGTTCTGGATAAAAATGAAATTACATCTATACTATATATATATTTTGATCTATTCGATATAGATTTGGTATAATACACATATGTAGGGATGCACGTATATAGCTTAGGGTATCCTTCAATGTTCCGCCGCATGCCCCCGGCTTGATATCTGCCGGAACACCCACTCCATTAAATTCCATTGTGCTGCAATTATCGGTGATTATAATACTTAATGGACATCTATAATACATTTAATGGACATCTAGATTAGTTTTCAGTGGAATGGGTGGTGTGTTTGACTACTACTTGTGTTGACATTCATAGTTAAAATCTCAAAATTCTATCCTTCCGACCTCAATATTTGATAGAGCAGATCGCAGCACGTACAATAACAAAATGGTTTTGCCTTTGCTCTCGATTTTGTGGACCTTGTGTAAATCACATGTTGAACTAATGTAAAACTAGCAATATAGCCGCAGCCCCAGAGTAAGCCTAGTGTATCTCCTGCCTATATCTGATTATATATCTTTGATTAATTTTGAAATGGTCCCGACTAACATGAGAAACCTAGGGCGTGCCAGTTGTGGGTGCACGATGGGCGTGGGCTTGCTTATATAAAAAAAAAAATAGTGGGTAATTATGGCCAAATTCTAGGTCTATTTAAGCAAAAATCTTGCGTACGACCAATTGGATTAATTCAATAACAATCATATGAACATTAATATAAGTTTAAAATGCAATTCGATTACCTTTACAAATTTATATATATATATAACTACACATATATAATTAACAATAAGTTCCATTTCGAACGTTCAAAAAATCAGTACAATTGGTTTCATATAACTTCTTCGTCTACGAACAAGGATTAAGGGTAATTTTTCCAAAAATTATTGCTTCTCAATTTGGGTTTCCGTTTGTAATTGGTAATTTGTTTTTTAATTTATCTTCTTTATAATCATATTTAAGCGGAATCATAATATTTAATGGGACGCAGTCGCTTCGAAAATAATCCCAACTCATGCTTACAGGAGAACGAAAACCATAATAAATCAATTATAAATAATAGTTTTATATTTAGACAAACTATATACAGTGATTTGGGGGGGGCGAGAGTGACTAGCGTAAATTAAGGCTAAAATTATACACAATATGTACAGTTGGGAATAGTGCCGTACCCCCGGTAAGAGTCGAGTCAGTTTTTTTTGTAACTTAGGCAATAGTTGCTATGCTTAGGATCTGCATACTGTTTTTAGGAAACATTTTTTTGGGGGAGGGTTCTCTGCTCGCTTAGAGCACATGCAGGTTCTCGCAGCTCTTGGACTTGGAGTCCCGCGTCCAGACGCGTCCCAGCAGACCCTTGACCTTCAAACTGGTGGAGGTTCGCGATCCACGATATTTGCGGGGGCTGCCAACAAAAAAATGGGAAAAAAGAAGAAAGTTTTACAGACCATTACAGGCAAGTTTCGTTGACTTGTGACCCACCTGCTCTGCGCACTGCCTGGCGGCGTGGCCACCGTCTCCCCCAGCGGACCCAACGGGGTGTTGGCATTGAGGCAGCCGGCACTCAGGGGTGAACAGGCGCGTCTCTTCGACTTTCTAATCGAACGCTTCCGGAACAGATCCCTGCGGAAATGGCAAAAGTAACTTAAGATTGAAGCAAGGTAAAAGTTTAAAGAAGCCCGCTCCACCCACCTGGACTTCTCGGGATTCTCCAGCTTCAGGCGTATCTGTGACAAGAGACCCACCAGCAGCTCGTCCACGTTGTGATTTATGCCCACCGAAGTCTCGATGAATTTACAATCGTAGGCGGTGGCCATGGCCTTGCCCTCTGCAAGAGAAGGGAAAAAGAGATGCGAGTGAGAGGTTAAGTGAAAATGTGTGGAAATTATGGCCAAAGGCATCACAGTCAGGCTTAGTTGGCCACCCATCACCCCAGTTAATCAAATCAAATGGCCTCGCTTAGTTAACTCTGAGTTGGTCATAAAACTTGGACTCGGATTTGTATCTAAACACGTTGGTACACTCCGATTCCCCATCCGTCACGTCTGGTCCACAGTTGTGTGAACACAACTCGTAAAATCAGAAGCATCAAAGTTCGCCGTATGCGTAGGTACAACATGCTGCAAAAATTTTATGACAGGCTCACATTTTTATTAACAATGTGACGAAAGCCCCCTACCCCATATATATTTCTGTGTGTGTGCCCATTTTATTACTGTTTGATAGAGGCTCCTCTCGCTTCTAGGGCCTTAAAGACTTAAGCTCTTATCCCTAGCGATTCCGAGCTAAATCGTATAATTAAAAGTAAACAAAACTGCCCAGCATCGGGGCCATATTTACCCCAATTGAATAATTAGTGCGGCACTATGGCGGCGCGCAGCATCATTAAGTATGCTGAACAGTAAAAAGGTGCAAGTGGAAAATGGTAACGAGGGTATAGCATTAAAATTTCAATAGCTTTCCGGGGAATCCACGCAATATGCCAAGTAAATATGACTCATCAGCCCATCCACTGACACTGCACACGTATTTGGTCCCAATCGCTGTGACATTGTATAGATTTATGAAAATATCTTTTAGCCAGACATTTCAGGGCTAAGCGCGCATTTTATTATTGCCAGAGGCATAAAAAATTCTATAAATACTTTATGAAATTAAGGCGCCGCATTAGGTGGACAGCAAAGCCTACCCATCACCCATCTCCCCACCACCCCACCACCCATCATCAAGTGGGGATTCGAACTTGGGATGTGGTGCGTAGACCGTGGAAAGAGGGCTCTGCTCTGCTCTGCTCTGTTTGTAACAATAGGCTTATGGGCCTTAAACCCACAGCGGAACACATGCCACACGGGACGAAATGTAATCAATTTTGCGCTGAAACAATTTCCCTGCCATTACTCTGGCAAAGAAGGAACCCTTCCAGTAAGCCACCAAACCCACCCACCTGCCTGTCGACCTACCTACCGCCCTCCATCCCCACCCTCTTACTTTCATAATAACAAACGTAATTTAACGGAAAATATTGAATTACTTAGATGAAAGCGCCCGAGAGTTACCTTCGCCTTAAAGGGAATCCGATCTAAAAGTCAAGTGAAAGTACTTGAGTCGACAAAAAGACCCCCGAAATTGGCGACCTTCAATTGGGCAGAATGCGGCTTTCACTCCCACTTTGCTCCCTCCTCAATCTCCTCTAGCACCACTTGAGTCTCTGGGCTATATCTGTTTTTATAGGCCAACCGCCGGATGACTTCCGCTTGGGCAAACTTTTCAGCTGTCCCTGGCCATGGGTCCTCTGTTCACACACTCGAACTATGTATATCGATATCTATTTTTAACGGACCCAATCGAGCGCACCTTCGAGTGTTAATGAGGGGCGGAAAATATCCCCCAACGATGATGATAATGGTATAGTATATCATGTCATTTACCTTCGGAGGTGACCAGCCGGCTCCTGGCCAGGTCTGCCTTGTTTGAAACGAGAATGACTGCCTTCTGGGCGATGTTCTGATTGGTCCAGAGCACCTGCAGCACCTGCTCCGCCACGCTGAAGCTGCTCCTGTCCGCGGCCGAATAGATGACGCAGTAACCGTGCGGATCGTAGTTGGTCAGGCACTCATCCGGCTGTGAATGGAGGTGACACCGAGGTGACATTGAGTGAGGTTGAGAGCTGGCCAAGGTGTGGGGCTAGTTGATGGCCGTGCATGCTAATGGCATTATGAAATGTCACAGATAGAGTGCAGGGGACACTCGTCCGTCCGTGTGCCTCAACGTTTGGCTTTCAAAATAATACCATTGGCCTTTCGATGGCTATGTAAAGGTGTATATTCAAAAACAAATACCAAATGGACACTATGCACCTTTTAGAAACCCATTAAAATGGTTTCTATATTACGCGAGCTTGCAGGCTACTCGTAAAGTAATTTAAAAACCATTTCTATTTATTATGCATCTATGCGGTGTCCTTATAAATATATTAAAAATTCTACATGGAAAAAGTTTTGCTTTTGACGTTAACGAAGAATAATTGCTTCTACATAAATCATCAAATAACAAAATAGTTTGAAACAGCTTGAAATATAAATTTAAAACAGTTCTAGTTATAGTATTTATGAATTTCCTACTTTTACCCTTACATAGCCATCGATTTTAATAAAAACAGAAGCCACTATTATTGCGACCACAGGTATAGCATCGGTGTTGAGTGGACTTCATTGTTCTTGTGACACTTACCGTCATCTCGGTGTATCCATGGTCGATGAATATCAGCTCGGACTCCTCGCCACTGAGTAATACTGAAACGGCCTTCTCGCCAGACTCATCATCTATTCACATTCAAGGAGAAGGACTAGATTAGCACCGGTTATTACATTGTGTGCGCAAGAAGGAAGCTCAAGATCGATAACTTAAATGTCAGGCAATGAAATGATTTACAACATCAATTTTTTGGAAGTGCGAAAACAAGGGGAAAGTGCAAGTGCATATTTAGGGTATGTATCTGCTGTGTGTGTGTGTGTGTATGTGTTCATGTAAGTGAGCTATTTACAAGTTTTGACTGCTGTATCCCCATTAGTCCTGGGGGATTGACCCGGAAGCCTTTTCCGGAGTACCGCCCCGAAATGTATGCTAGTTTATGGTGAATTAAGCTGCCCCCACAAGTATGCAATGCAGGCGCAGAGCTGCCAAAGGGGGTGAAAGTGGCGTGGAAGTGCTTGGGGCTACTCTTCCTGGTCGAGTCTTTTGTTTGTGTTGGTGAGTGAGTGAGCGCCCACTCAATTATTATTCATTTAATGTGTTTTCTGTATTTTTTTTGTTTCCTTTTAATTAAAAACATTCAATAGGACGCCCCAGCCATTATTTGTAGCTCGTCCCCCTCCTCGGTGGCAATCGATAAATGCAGCCACCGTCCAAAGTCCGGTGGTTTCGACCAAATCATTAATTAAATTTCATTCGTTGTGTTTGTGATGTGCATAATCATTTCAATAATATCGAATGGCAGTCCTCAAGGCTGAGCAACGCGACGGCCCATAAATCACAAGCGAAACAAAGGCCGCAATCGTTTGACAATCGATTGGGGGGCTATATATTATTACTCATATATATATAGAGGTATTGGGGGTGGTGTCTGTGAGGTGTCTGTGTGTGTGTTCTAATTTCCGGGGCGTGTTTGGTGGGCAGGTGTGTTGGGAGCAGGGGCTGGTCTAGCTTCTAATCATACCCAATTGGTGGAAGTCAAGGGGGACTGGGACTAATGTGACTTGAGAGATTGAGTGTTTAACTAGTTTGTTGTTTGGTTTGGTTAAGTTTTTGGATTGAAATTGACAAAAAAAAGCGTTTCAATTATATGTATAGAGATATTGGATAAATATTAGGGAGTAGCATAGTTAACAAGATAATTATTATTATTATTATTATTATTGTTCAGTGGCTGGTTGCTTTTACCGTCGGCGGCTTTTTCAATTAGTATGCGTATATCACAGTTGCCTAGATCTGATTACGACCACGATTCGGTTACGGATTACGAGTACGGTTTTTGGTTGTTGTATGTACAGAGATGTCGGTTGTTAATTCGGTTGTTGTTGTTGGTTGTTGGTTGTTGGTTGGTTGTTGTTCGAGTTTCGAGTAGGGTCAGTTTGATACATTGAGTTGAATGATTGGTTGATTCGGAATGGAGAGAAACAGAAAAGATTATCACTTCTTCAAATATACATATATAGATATACATATAAAACAATATGGTACAGGTATGAGGTATAGTGTGTGTTGGGTAAGCATATTACACATGGACTCTACTATTTATTATTATTATTGCCAAGGAATGTGAAATCGGTCAACATTGGTATTCTTCCATAATATTCCTCCAAAGCAGATGACAAATTTTGTGAAATTATTAAATTTTCCATTCGTTTCCAGGGCCAGACGTGCTTGTTTTCGCTTCTCTTCTTTTCCCGTGCCAATAGAAATGTTTACTTGAGAATCTTTTCTTGCAACCGGTTCTGCCTGGCCAATTCCATTCCTTCATGGATTCGCAACAAAAAAAATCCCAAAATGAGGCGAATTTATTTTCATTGCAGCAGCGTTTGTTATGCTTTATATGCCAATATTATGTGTTGACCCATTGGGGGTGGCTATAGCGATGGCGATGGCGATGTCGATGGCTCGGCACACTCATAAAACGCCCAAAGGCCAACGGAACCAACCAAAAAACAGAAGGCAGTACTCAACTCAGAAACAGAAAAATACATTAAAAAAAAAATAGCAAAATAAGCTGTAGTACAACCAAAAAGATGGAAACTTTCCGAGCACCGCGGGGATCATAAAAAGCCATGTGATATGGGGTCCAAACAGACGACACAGAGCAACTGAATCAAACTGGAACCAAATGGATCGAATAAGACAACATAATGCGGCACGACTACAACACCGACAAACAAATGAGTTATGAAATAATATAAACTAAAGCCAAAGCACTCGCTCACTGGCAGGACGACAAGACGACACAAGGTGAAACAGGGGGCTAGCTATGCAGTGCTCTCGGGGATTTGGATTTGGGTTGAGCCGGACCAGGAGTTCGGCTCCAAGGGGGGGCGGGGGCATCCGGATGCAAGCATCTCCGGGATTTAATATGTGTGTGCACACACTCACCGATGCTCGTGTCGTAGGCGTGCAGGTACTCCGACGTCATGAACTGTGAGACCAGGGAACTTTTGCCAACCGCAGGACCACCCAGCATTAGGACCCTGGAAATTAGAGTAAATAATTGGGAGAGACCAATTAGTAATGGCATTTACACAAGTCCTATGCACTTTAATTTTAATTCAAGCTTAGCTTTGCTTCCATTTACTGATTTGATTTGATTATTTGACCTTTTGTACATTTTTAACACTCATTTATCTAGGACTCACCTATAAGGACCATTGCCTGGATTCGAGGTGCTGCTCTCCCTGCTGGAGGCCAGCGAGGTTCGCGCCGAGACTGAGGTGGGCGCAGAGAGCTGCTGCTGGGCTGTGAGATGCTCGGTGCTGGAATTGGAGCTGGCCACGCTGTTGTTGGAGCGACTGCGTCGGCTCTTGAGGGAGTCACCGCGATTGACCACACCCTTGCCGGTGATCGAGAAGTGGCGCAGCCTGTAGTACTCCTCCTCCACGCCAGTGTTTGGCATGGAAGCCACTCTGTTAATAAGGGGGGAGGAAAATGAGGAGATAAGTAATTGTCATGTGTGTGTACACAGTGGCTGGGTAAATGCACCTGGATCTCTGCTGGGGCAGGCACAACTGATTCGGTCTGCCCGATGCCCTGCTGCCGGGCATCTTCACCGACTGGGAGCGGCTGTGATGTGGTGAGCCATAGCTGAAATTGGAGGAGAAGGACATCGTTAGCTGGAAAACTGGATATTTGAATCCTTCATTTGCCCTTTGGCCCTCTGTCTCTATCTCTGCGGAGGAGGCAGGAGGAGACAGCATGGAATAGCTGAGATTAACAACTGCAGATGACAGCGGTTTAATGGAGATCCAGATATGTGTGCACTATTTTGCGTGCTGCACCTGCTGCCACCAGTCCTTGGCCATTGTGAATGCCAAAGGACACCAGTGTGGGCAGGCAGGTGACCTTGGATGCCGTGTTGACCGCAGCAAAACCAGCCAAGGGAAAATATTGATAATTAAAGCGCTCAATGGGAATAACCGGACAATTAATGGACATGGCATTTATGGCAAACTTTAAATATCTCTCGCAAGCCAACGGCAATCAAATGCAGGAACTGCATGGCCACGTGCAAGTCACAATTGTTTATTTATTTATGGGATTTGTAAACTTTGCGAATCAGAAATCGCCTTATATATCGCATATACATATATGTGACGTTGGCAACAGGTCGTATGAGTAATTTGAAAAGTTATGAGCCCTTCTTTGTGACGACTCTCCCTCGTTGTACCCACAAAGTTTGTTGCAATGCAAAACTCCTGGCAGGTGAAGGCTATAAAGCAGGTCCTTCTTGTTTCATTTTCTTTTTTTTTGTTTTCTTTCGGTTTTTGTTTGTTGGGTTTTCCCCTTTTGAACATTTAAATTTTGATTGCTCTGGTCCGAGCATTTTTACGAGAGTCTTGAAATCGATTGGCATTCAATCGGAAATTAAATCTCTGGCCGGGCGGGCCATAAAACGTAATCCGTCAAAGGTCAGGGATCTCGGGATGCTAGGACACACTTACCGCATCTCAAAGTCGCGCAGCTCCTCGATGGTGAGCGTGTTGGTCACATCCAGCAGCTGCCTCATGTTCTCGTCGCGCTTGTGCTGCGCCTGCTGCTGCTGCTGCTGCTGCTGGTGCTGGTGATGATGGTGCTGCGAGTGGCTGTGGGTGCTGGGATGGTGGTGCAGGTGGGAGGTGGGTGCATGGGCCAGCTGCTGGGAGTTGCGTTTCCGAGCCACCAGCTCCTTGCCCTGCTCCACGCTGATGAAGTCGCCCTCGTTCTTGATTAGCAGCGTCTCCACCGTGTTGTCCAGACTTAACGAGGGCTATAAAAAATGAAGCGGAAGGGAAAATTATAACAAAAAAAATCACAGAAAGGAAGAGTGTCGGAAGTATCTTTGATTGGTAAGCGGATTGCAGCAATTGCAGTTGTGTTGAAACTACTCGACCGAAGAGGACTCACGGCCCAATGACTTCATTCATTCATTCATTGCAGCACCCAAGGATTTGCCACCACCTCAAGGGCTTCCACTCCGATTTCGAAAACTTTTGCTTTATCTACACACCTTGAACAGGTGTTCAGACAGCCCCCGGAGACCCCGGAGCCTCCGCATTGCGTGTCTGCAGTTGCAAATTCAAATACATTGCCATTCGTGTCGAGGTAAATTCCCATAAATTTCACCGTTCGCCTTCGGTTAACAACGGGGCAAGGACTATTAGCCAGAAGTTTGCTGGCTAACAGCTTATACGCTCTAATGATACTTGTAACGAACTGCAGCCTGTGGGAAATTCCCCAGAAGTATTAACTAAAAGCCCGAATAGGATTATAAATAATTGGGGTATCGAGAGTTTTCCCACTAAAAGCAATTAAAGTTATATTTTGTCAGAATTGTTATTTGTAAATATATAATTTCAATTTAAGGCAAATATATTTGCCAGATATTTAGTTCAATTGTAGTTTCTTTACCATAACAATATATATTTGTCATAGTTACTTTTAAAAGATATATCGTTTAGAATTTTTATTTATTAAATACTTGTACAAATAAGTTTTCTGTCCATTTTGTGGTTGTGGTTGATACAAATGAAAAGCCCACCAAGCAGAGCTTAAATGTTTTCTGTCTGGCGTTAAACAAATGCCTGCCAGCCAGGTTAAATTATCAACAATGTTCAGCAGGTCTCTCTCTACCTGGGCCATAAATTAGACAAACACTGGGAAAAGTCTACCTGTACACCTACACGCACACACCACAGCACATTTATTTATTCAGCAAAATGCCGAAATTAATTTGTATATTTTATTGGCAGGCATGACAGTGCGGTGGGGGTAGGAAAAGGGAAAACTTTTGCCTGCATTTCGCACAAACGCTAATTAATAAGGTGCCAATGTGTGCGAGAGTGCGTGAGAAGGTCCTAATGAATCCTCTTCTCGATTTCACAGACGAACCCACCATTTGAATCAAATATTTCAAGTGGCCACCCGGGCAAACTTTGTGGCTGATCCGACCCGGGGGAGCAATTCGATGGCGCCGAACGGGGATGCGACACTTTCACTGATGACGAAACCCGCGGCGAGAAAAGTTTTCCCCCCTTCTTCCCAAATGACGCGTTACACGCGGCGTATGAGTAATATTGCTTTGGACACGCTGCTATGACGCTGCTCTTTTTTCATCTCGACTGCCATTTCCCATTTTCCCCATTACACAAACGCCGAAAATAGTTTTTCTTGCATCGCCGAGTGCGTCGGTTCTTCGTTTTTTCTCTTTTCAGATTATTTTCAGAAGCAGATTGCAATGGAGGGGAAAAAACGTAGCCAAGCACATGCTAAAGTTCCCAAAAAAAAGAAGAGAGGGAAAGCGATGGAAAATTGGGATAGAAAAGTGTACATTTAGCTGAATTGGTTGCTTAACTACCAAGATAGGATTAATACGAATTTAAAGAGAGTTTTTCACGTCGCTTTGAAGAGCAATAAAACACTTTAAATTACTAGAAATAGTACATCCCTCAATAATTATTTAATTTCAATTGAAACTTTAAACTTGTATTTATAGTGTTTAAAATATTTCATTAAATAACAATGGAAGTCAAACTGTTCCTGTTTTGCTCTGTGGCTTTTCATAGGGAACATTCTCCGAGTTTCCATTCTGGTGGAAAAACTACGCAGCGCGATTGTATACTCAAACGTATGGGAATGGCCCATTAAAAAGCCAACCGGACTCGAGGTGTTAGGAAAATGTTTAGCACTCCCGGAAAAACAGGAGAATAAAACGCTGAGGCACTCGGAATCGAGTGAAAGCGAGAAGCAGCCACCCGCCGGGGGCAGAATTCAAATGGGATTGTCAAAGACTCAGGTCTACGTGCAGCGGGTCAGGAAATCGAATTGCTATTGGCCAGATTGGCCAGAATCAATCAAACACACAGCCGAAACAATAGACCAGATGGGAATGCAATTAGATTCTGTTTCGTGTTATGGAAAATGCAAAATGCTAACTGAAAGTCCAATCGAAATGCAATCGCTATCTTTGCTATGCGGAATGCCCGCATAAATTATAATTGATATTACAGAGGCTGCCAGCAATCATTTCACACCCGATCGATTTGGTGTTTGCATCGTTTAAAAATACATTTAGTTGTGCTAAGTATGTATGGGAATTACTCCCGCGTACCCTGCATACCCCTCTCCATACATGCAAATCACTTTTCATGTTTTCCTTTGCTTCATTTTCACGCCGCTCCGTTGTGTTCAATCGCCTGTGAAATCCGGCAAAGGAGCGAGCGGTCGGGGTAGTGGCGACCAGGTTTTCTGGCTATTTTCATGCGGCACGAATATTAAAAATAAAAAAGTGTGTACTCAGAAAACTTGGCGAAAACATGCTGGGGGGCCTGTCCAGCAGTTTTGTTCAAAATTACTAGGGGCAGCCGCTGTTTAAATTGCGATATTCCAAACACAATAATTCTCCCACCGCACACAGCAATCTTGAATGAAGATGTCTGCGGTTTGATAGACTGCTTTTCCCGGTAGAGAAAAGTGGAAAACATCTCTGGCCATTTCTTCTTGTTTGGGGCATTTTTTCGGGTGAAACTGTTCACGTGTCCAACAGCTGAAGGAAAAGTGCAATACGCCAAGAGAGCAAGGTGCAATATCTTAGGATGCAGTTCCAAGTCCATGTCCAGGTAAATATCCCGAAACTATTTGCTTTTCACGGTTTGCTTTCCGCGAACAATTACTTTTGGTATGTGTGGCATATGCACAATAACATCGCAACGCTGGGATATCTATATCGCCTTGTACATGTTTATTTATAGCAAAGGTTTATTTATGGCTCGGCCGCAAAAGAGTGCAGATACAGATGCAGATGCAGATGCAGCTGCAGCAAATGCAACGCAGCAGCCTTCGCCAAATCGAATGGGGTCAATGAATCCCATCGACAAGGCAGAGGGAACAGCAGGAAAATAAGCTCAGGTGCGGGGCCAGTTCATAAATCAACTAATTAATGACACTTAACAAGGCAATTGGCCTCGGGGGAAAAGGCGGCCTACTAAAGCTACCGCGGAGACGACACAGTGCCCTCAAAAGAGGAGAAGTGAGCAACTGCTGGGGGTAAGAGAAATGGGAAATGTGGATGGGGGTATCAAGTGCCTGCCTCCAAATTAAGTAGCCGACCCGTTGGCAATTATAATTATCAAGTATACGCAGCGTTGCCGCCTCCAGCTGGGCAGAGAGAGAGTTCAAGTCGAGCAATTAGCCTTAGGTGCCTAAGGTTGAGGTAAACCTAATCGGGTCCCTGACCACAACCCTAGTGGGATGAACTCTGAGCACCATTTGTGCGTTATAATTAGCCACATTGAATTCTATGGCCCTGGCCAACGAGAGTCAATAGCCGTTTTGGCCATTTATCATCTATCAATGATCGGCAAATTCTGTTGGTTTTCCAACTACAACAACTAAGCGAGTGAATGGCCGGCGAGCGGCAAGTGAAAGTGCCAAAATTGTATTTTGGGGGAAACTGACCTTTGAAGGCTGAACAGAGAATAATCTGTGATAAAAAATAATGGCTAATTAGCTTGTTTAAATCTGAACATGTTTTGCAGTTCACATTTAATTTTGGATTCGATTTTCTAGCGTTTACCTTACATTTTCCAAAGGGGGGAAAACAAGGACACACACACACAGAGTGTGTGCCGGATGGACCTTAAGCGCGTTTGGCCACGGTTTATGGCAGCCAAGGCGATCTGAGAAATGCATTCTCTGGCACATTTGCCTGCAATCAAAGGAAACACCACCCCACACCTGCCTCCTGACCGACCGAGCACTCAATGTAAAATCAATAGGAAACAGCCGACCGGCAATGGGAAAAACTGGAAACATGTTTGCGTTTCTGTCGATGTTTACTTTGAAGGTGGAAACTATGGAAGGGGATTGGACAGACCCCAAGGCTGCACTCGGTTCGGAGTGCGTGCCTGCTAATAATTCGCCAAAGAAGCGACCAAGGTGAGCAGCGCTGAACAGGTGAAAGAAGGAGGAGTGAACGGGTAGATAAATGACTGGGGACGCATGCAATTTATGTAGATTTATACGTCTCGATGCCCATACACGCGCTCCCCGATTCCGAAAACTTATGGGGGCAATCGATCTGCGCGAGAAACAATTACACTTTACACCTGATTGAAGGTTGTGGGGGCATTAAATAAAGGAGGTTGGATCTCGGTTCTTTGGAAAAGAAATCCCCACTCTGGACGTCATTTATTTGGCTTTGTTTTTGGATGAAAATTAATTGGTGCGCCGCATGAACATTCGTTTATTTGCACAGCAGAAAAATGGAAATTAAAATATTGATTTTAGTATTTAGAGTCCAATTTCAGCATAATAACTATGAGCTTAGGCAGGCTTTAATTATATTTGTAGAAAGCCTAAATGGATATTGTATATTAAATGCAACAAATGCACTCTCAACTGTTTAGAATATTTAAAATATTATTTGCATTATTTACACATTTTGAAATTTGATAATTCTTAGTTAGACTTAAGTCTTAATTCGTTTGATTTAAGTGTTTTTCGATGTGGAAATAGTTCTAATTTAAAAGAGGAAATCAAAGCATAGTATTTAGGATCAAAGAATATAAAATTGATACGTTGTTCGAGCACCAGGAAATGCCTTTGCAAGGAACATCTATAATCTATCTGTATCTGCATCTGTATAAATATCTGTATCTGAATCTGATTCGGAATATGTACAATATAGAGACCTCTCCTGCTCTTTATGCATCATGGGCAAAAGTTCGAAGAATGAAATGCTAACTCACTGCCGATTACAATGAAATCGTTAAAATAAACTCGAGCATATACTCTATAAAAATATATATTTGTATCTGTGCCTGGGGGTCTATGACAAGTTCTCCGGCCCCCTTGCTGGCTCTGCCTTGGTCTTTTGCTTTTATGTTTTTATGATCCGATTTGAACAAGTAAATAAATAAGGGGAAAACAACCTGCGATCTCTACTATAAACTGGGCAACTGGGCTGTGTGTGGTAGTTTATTTTGACAGCCTGTCGTCTGCCGGCCAAGATGTATGGAATAATAAATGCTACACATCTCAGTACCCCAGAGTGCATACGATATTCCGCTGTCAGTTGCAACATTTTTAATTATTTACGCGCAAATTCATTGTTGAGCCGGAAAAACTCGTCCACTGGAGCACTCGCTCGAGTGTATCACCCGGCCACAAGTGGGTGTTGTCCACCCTCTGATAAGAGGAGGGACCCTCCCGAATTCCGAACTATCCAGGAGTTAATTCATGGCCCCTAGCAAAGCGGAGCAGAAGGGACAGGAGGTTTTATGGGCAAATTGACGTCACTGGGAGTCGATAAATCTCGCATATCGCTTGTTTTGAAGGATCAAGGCATTAATTGACCGAACTCTTATCTTATCAAACTGCTTTCTGGGTGGGTTTATGAATGCATCGCGCACCCGGCTGGCTCATTAACAAAATCAATCAACCCGGCGGCGCGTCAAGGGATTTGGATTTGTTGTTTGTGTGCCTATAACTATGGATATTTACCTCCTTGTAGCGCTTGGAAAGGCTGCGACAGATGCGCTTGTAGAAGGGCGCCATGATATACTGCGTCACTTGGGATTGATGGACCCTTTGGAACGGATTGTGCTTGTCACTTGACTGAATTTATGTCCTCTGCGGTTAATTGTTTCTATTGCCTTGGAGGAGGCAGTGCGTTTACATAGCGAACACGAACACTGAACACAAAGATGCGAGCACTTGGTTGATACGGGGGATGCTGCGCGTTATCACTGATTTAGAGACGATGCTTCGCTGACGGTGCGCTCTCTTCAACTGAAGCGATCGGGCGGTGTGCGCCCCTTTTTATTAGCTGTGAAAGCCCGAGAGAGGGAGAGCGCTCGATTGGGTGTGTGGGAGGAATAGAGAGTGGCGGTGAGTGTAATGGAGAGAGCTCCAGCGGTGGCGAGCACAAACAAAGAGCGTAGAGCGGCGGGCCGCTGCTGATAATGATAAGGAGCGGGAGAGGGAGAGGAAGAGGGAGCATAGCCAAGCTGGAGAGTTGGACAAAGAGAGTGCTTCCAAGAGGGACTCGTATTTATATATCAATAGATGCTCTCCATAAATCAATAATATCTACGTATATGGACAACTCAACTGGCACTTCTAAGGAAGTGTTTCACAAGGAATTAATATCACCCAACAAGGAAGTCTATATATTTGTTAGATCTGTTTATATATAAAGTACTCACTTGCTGGACCACAATGGTGGCTCGTGGCTGCTTGCAGACGGCGGCCGCCTCGAGGGGATTGGCGGTCACATTGATGGGTCCGCCGCCACCTTGGCTGGTTCGATCCTCCGTTTGGATATAGAAATGCTCCTCCTTCGGCTGACGCTGCTTGCTCTTGAAGGAGCGCCGGCGGGCCGAGTCTGTGGGACTCACAGCCGACTCACTGCCCGGACTGGGCATCATGTGGTGGAGATTCAACATGGAGCCGGATCTCGAGCCAGAGCCGGAGCCCTGCTTGGGCGGTATCTGCTCGAACTTGCTGGCAATGTCCTCGAACTTGTTCAGCTCGGCGTAGGAGTGATCGCTGGGCGAGGAGGAGGACTTGGCCTGGGGATAGAAGGCGTCCGACTGCGGCACATACTGTTGGTTCTCCCGTATGGTTGTGTGTATCACCGAGTCCGGTCGAATGCGTTTGGAGTTCTTACGCGACGGCGGACGATCTCGCTCACGGTCCCAGTCCCGCTGCTCCTGATAGTGCTGCTGCAGCTGCTCCTGGTGGCTCAGCCGTGAGTACTGCTGGAAGATGTCCGCTCCGGACTTGCGCTCATACACGGAACAGTTCTCCGCCTCGGAGTCACTGCTATTACTGGCCGTGGTGGAGCTGGGCGCAAAGCACTCACGCTGGATGCGCTCGTAGTCCAGTGCCTCACGGTCGAAGGGGAACATGGTTCCTGGTCCAGTGGCCTCTCTGAGGCACCGTTCGCTGCTCCCACTCGAGGAGCTGGAGGAGTACTTCCGCTGCTGCTGGGCGGACGGGGAGAGCTGATGGGGCTGCTGATGCGGCTGGGACTGGCGCTGCTTCTGCTTCCCGCCGGAGCTGCCAAAGAAGTTGGCCTCCTTCATTGTGGGCGGCGCCGAGCTGACCTTGGCTATGGCCCCCGTGGCGGCTGTGGGCGCGGTCCGGCGCTTCTCCCGCTTGGGACTTGCCCGGCGACTGTGCGACGGCGACACGCTGGGCGAGATGTGATTGGGATCCCGCTCCCTTGGACGCAGCTTCTTGCTGCGACTGCCCAGGCTGTCGCCGCTCCGCTCGTCATCCTCCTCATCGCCCTCGCTGGCGGCCACGGCGCCACTGCCACTCCCTCCACCTCCGGGTCCAACTCCTCCTCCTCCTCCTCTGACTCCGGCTCCAGCTGCTGCCTCCGTACCCACTCCTGCTCCTGCTCCTGCTCCTGCTCCTGTGGCCGTCCTTCCTGCCTCATTACCATAGCTCTTGAAGGGAAAGTGGCTGGCGGACTTCTCGCTGCTGCGCGCCGACATTGGGGACTGCGGGGGATCGAAGGTGAAGTGCTCCCTGGTCCGACTAGGTGGTGGAGCCGTGCTGGGCTCCCGCTCCTTTCTCTCCCGCCTCTCCTCGCGCTGGCTGCCGGGCGAGTGACCGCTGCCAGCCGGATGGCGCCTCTGGGAGGAGAGCAGGGGCGTGGTGGATGTGGGTTCGCCGGTAAGAATGGAAAGGCAGGACTCCTGGCTCTGCAGGGAAATAAAGGAGATGAGGGAGAATTTAAAAATAGTATGTTGGTTTTTCTTGAAACGTGAGTTTCCTGGCTTTGTAGTTCAAAAATACCTCAAAGTATCGATTATCCAATTCGGAGAATAATGTTATTAACGCTTTACAAAGGTTTACTGTTTTTAGCAACTTAATAAGTCTCTGTACTTTAATGTGTAGTAATGATAATATCCTTGCAATATCCTTGAAATTTTATTGTAATACTTTCTGATAAATCCTCTGCAAACAGAAATACATTTTACCGGAAAAAATGAAATACTGACTCTAAGAACAAAGGTTTTTCCCATTAATTTCCACCTTTCCTTCAACTGAAATTTGTTCAAAGCTGCTCTTGATTTGATTCATGACGTTCCTGAATTGCCTGTTATTAAATTCTCAGTTTTTAAGTATTTAAGTCCCATCCCCGGGGCATCCTGGCAACGTAAGACCAAATATCTGGCTTTAAAAAGCAATAATATACAATTTAGGCCGCCCTTCAGCCTCTGCCTCTCTGGGCCACTCCAGGACCCAATACACAGTGAATAATCACATGATTCAGTGCCGGAAGTGGTTGTCGGCCAAGCGGATTTAATCCGGAATTTAATTCCGATTCTCGTACCTCGGTGCTGTCCTGCAGATTCATATCGGGCCTGGGCGGATACCTCGAGCAGCTCGTTAGTTCCAGCTCAGTGGCGCCGCGTCCATTGGCAGCTCCGTGCTCGTGCTCCGAATCAATGTGGACGGCGGTGAGGAGCGGCTCCTCCAGCGAGCTAAACAGCGGCTCGCTGGGACCCGAGTTGTCACCTGGAAAAGGTACAGAAAGGCAGAAACAAAACAGAAGGCGCGGGTCAGATTGATTAGTTGATTAATTAATGCGGCCGCGCGAGGACATCAATCAAGCAATCAGGATGCACGGACTTACCCAGATCCAGGGAGTCGCACGTCTCCGACGTGTCCGTGTGGGTCACATTCGTGATGAGCGTGCAGGCCGAGTCCGTGGACGTGTTGATGTTGGTGTCCGGAATGGAGGCGGACGAGGTGCCCATCACAACCAGCTGGTAGAAAGACAGGAAATCCATTACTATAGTGCAAAGGTCAGCTCAGGTTTAATAAAGAAGAAGCTTTCCAAGCCATAACTTCTGCTACTTTAAAGGGAAAAGGGAAAACCTTACTCCTCCTTACCTTGGGCACTCCACCCGCTGTTGTCACATTGTGCATGGAGCTGTGGTATGCACTGGACACCGGATTCAGGGGCAGTCCATTCAGAGGAGTCGCCGAGCTCGTAGAGGCATTGATCTTGTTCTTGATGCTCCGTCCGCTCTTAAAGTAAAGCCTCCGAAGAGCCGTGGCTGCCGATGAGCCGGACGTACTGAATCCATCATTGTCCGAGCCACTGGAGTTACTGCCGCCGGAAAAGATTCCAGAGGAGCCATTCAGCTGAGCTGCCGCCCTGCTAGCCGTCGGCGTTGAAGGCTTCGATTTGGGTACATTGCAGGGCAAGGAGGTATTGGAAACCCTTCTGGTGCCGTGACGTGGCGATTGAGACTGAGATTGGGATACATTCTGGACTTGGGATTGGGACTGGGCGGGTGAGGCTGCTCGGGGAGCGGGCGGTGACTTGTTACTTCCATTTCCCGATGGCTGGCCTAGTGCCAGGGCCATCATAGCTGCCGAGCGAGTGCTCGTGTATCCAGCTGGTGGCTTGGACTTGCCAGAACCGGAATTGGTGCTGCTGTTGTGGTTACCCTGCGAGGCATGGGCTAGGGATGCCGTCATGGCTGTGGATAAAGAGAAGAGAATGTGGGTTATATTCGAATGCATTCCTATTGAGCTGCGGTTTTCTATTGAAATTGCCAAGACAATGCTCTAGTTTACTACTACATTTTTGGCTGTACTCATCTTCGGAATATCTGAGTGCTTAAAGTTCCCAGAATATGGTTGAATATCCTAGTACTAAATGGCTTTTCTGAATTGGCTCCACCTCCTCTAGCCACAATCGCCTGTTAGCTCCAAAATCAACAAATAAAATCGATGATGTATGGCGTGACACCGGTCACCTCATCGAACCCCTAAAACCTCGGGTTGGTTGTATTGGCTTGTGGCTCACATGTTGCGCCATTAAGTGACTCAAACCCCAAAAGGGAGGAGGAGGAGTGGCGTGTCCACTGGGGACTTTCCCTAGCCGCAGACAGGGGAGAGTGAGATTTTCGCACGTAAACAGGGCGAACTTTTCGTGGAAAAACAAAGCACACAGTCAAACATCGCGCTGAGATAATAATCATCAAATAATCGAATTCCATTCCACAATTAATTGTGTGGACGATGGAATATCCCGGTCTTCTATCCACTCAGTTGGCTGTTCCTGTTGTTGTTTATACTCCAAGAGATTCCCCATAAGGTTAGTCGATATAGCGTTGGGGACACACTCAGCGTTGGAGGTCAGGGAACTCGAAGCAAAAAAAAAAAAGAAAAGAGGTCGACTCCGGCAAGACTTTGGCCCAGAATTCGCGCAAAAGTTTGACAGGGCCGGAAATTATACGGGTAGGGGGCCATTTGCATGTTTCCATTGTACATTATTTACCCAAATGTCGCGAAAAGTGTGTCAACTATCAGCCATCAGGCCACAAATCTCATCCTATACATACACAGTGAGAAAAGAAAATATGTCCAGAGACCAAGGCTGAAACATTTGCAAGCTATTTGTGATATCTGAATCCCTAGTGGACATGTGTTTTCTTTAGCATTATTATTCAAAATTCTTATTCTAGCCTTGGAAATGAATTAAATTTTCTAATTTTGTTCTTGTTTCAGAGTTAACTAAATCATTTTCCATTCAATTAATTACTCTCTTCAGGATATTCTTTGTATTTGTCTTCTTTAATTATCTGTGTTTCCCCTTTTGTTCAACCTCGCTGAATATTTGCTTAAGAATGCATTCTCGCAGCTTTGGCTAATGACCAATTTAGTTTCCTGATTAAAGCTTATCCATTTTCCTTCAGTATACACTTACCTCTGGCTCCTGGTCGGCTCCTAGACGCGTCTGCTCCTCCTGCTCCGGTGGTGCTGGCGGTGCTACTGGCTGTTGTGCTGGTGCTGGTGGCGGAAGATGTGGCGGAGGCGGAGGCGGAGGCGGAGGCGGAGACGGAGGCCGGCGGCGATGTTATAGGCCCCGCGAGGGCGGCGTGGGGCGTTGGGCTGCTGGTGTCACGGAAGATGGGGGAGCCGGGACATAGCGGTCGGGCTGTAAACAAGAGAAAAATATAACAAGAAAACTATAGAGTGCTTTCCGCTTAATTACAGCTCAAACAGAGGGTGAAAATGCAGTCTAGATAAGGTGGGAGTACTCCTACTCGTACTGGCATTCGTTTGTACATTGTTTGCCGTATGTCAGACATCAATCAGCGCGGACAGTTATCGAACTCCACTCGAGTCAGTCAAGTGCCAGGCCTTGAGGAGTGTGATTCCGGATTGGCGTCGGGGAATCTCAATAGAAGTCAGCGCCATGAATCGCTTGCAATCCGTACTCTTTACGGGTCTCTTTGCCGCTCTAGCTGTCGCCTTAATGTCAGCAGGACTCTCGAATGGTTTGTCTACAAGTCCTTTTAACACCTCACCCTAAAATCACTGAGTGATTCGCTTAACAGGCCGTTTTCCGCCTAACTAAATTAGCTGTTTTATTGCGAAATTAGCACTCTACGACTCATAACTCAGTGGCAATTTAGCAAGAAAAAATCAGGTGAATTTGAAATGTTCTTGGCACTCATTTTCTTCCCCTCCGACTTATTTTCATTCTGACATGGACACAGACGTAGACATAGACCCCCATTCGATTCGATTCGAGGAACTTGGTGCCTTCCGTTCTATTCTCGGTGCGGTTCGGTTCACTTCGCCCTGTTTCGTCGAGTTCAGCTGTCGACGTCACTCGCCTGTGACCGCATTCAGATTTATTGATTGCCTCACAAAAGATGATACAAATCATTTTTCAGAGATCTCCTCCTCTCCGAGTGCCCAAACTACCCGAGTTCCATGTTCCATGAAGACACAGTGGTTGTATTGGGGGTGTTGAAAGCAACCACAGAGGGCAGCGAACTTACTTGAATTGTAAGTGCTGGAGGCTGAGGTTATCTTTAGAATAGAATCGTACATTTATGTAAATTTCAAAGGACTTTTGTTATATTTAGGCTAAAAGGTTCATTAAGCTGCCTTCTGGTGTCAATAGGGTGAACTGGAGAATGAATTCAAGAGGGTTATGATATATATTACTTATACGCCCTGTTGGCTTACTCCCACTGTTGCTTAAAAATAAAGAAATTACTTAAAATATTAGGACAATCTTGTAAATTCTACTAATATTACGTATTAATTAAAGATTGAATTCTAAAGTCTCTTATCTTCTACAAGAATATTTACGAAAATATATTACTCATACGCCCTGTTGGCCTACTGTCACTGTTGCTTAAAAAGATGGATATGACTTTAAATATTAGGACAATTTTGTAAATTACAATACTATTAATACTTAATTGGAGAATAAATTAAAAGTCTCATCTCAAGAATTTTTAGGAAAATATATTGCTCATACGACCTGTTGGCCTACTGTCACTGTTGCTTAAAAAGATGGATATGAATTTAAATATTAGGACAATTTTGTAAATTACAATACTATTAATACTTAATTGGAGAATAAATTAAAAAGTCTCATCTCAAGAATTTTTAGGAAAATATATTGCTCATACGACCTGTTGGCCTACTGTCACTGTTGCTTAAAAAGATGGGTATGACTTTAAATATTAGGACAATTTTGTATTACTACTACACTACTTTTAATACTTAATTTGAAAATGAATTAAAAATGCTCATCTCAAGAATTTTTAGGAAAATATATTACTCATACGCCCTGTTGGCCTACTGTCACTGTTGCTTAAAAAGATGGATATGAATTTAAATATTAGGACAATTTTGTAAATTACAATACTATTAATACTTAATTGGAGAATAAATTAAAAAGTCTCATCTCAAGAATTTTTAGGAAAATATATTGCTCATACGACCTGTTGGCCTACTGTCACTGTTGCTTAAAAAGATGGGTATGACTTTAAATATTAGGACAATTTTGTATTACTACTACACTACTTTTAATACTTAATTTGAAAATGAATTAAAAATGCTCATCTCAAGAATTTTTACGAAAATATATTACTCATACGCCGTGATGACTTACTGCCTGCTTTTCTTTACTAAGATTTAAAACAGTTTAAGTTGATAGGGGAATTATTTAAAACAATTTTCTAAACTACAAGACTAGTAATTCTTGATTGGAGAATGAAATTAGAAGCCTCTTCCATAAAGTTCACAAAATATATTACTCATACGTCATGGTGGCCATCTGCCATTGTTCTTTACTTTTATTTAAAACAGCTAAAGTTGATAGAGAAATTATTAAAAATGTTAAAAAAAGAGGCTTAAATAATGTCACTCTAAATTCCTTAGCTCTCAGGGTATAATGTTTTACTATAAATTCTTTGTATATTCTTTTATAAACCTCCCTCCAAGCAATTACATTTGTTTACATGAGTAATATAAGGGCATTCATTAAAATTGTTAAGCAAAGTAACAAATAAAATTATTTATAATAATGTCACCACTTCGCTTACATTTTCTTAATGATGCACATTAAAATTAAATTTATTTTACATGACTAACCGCTCGTTTCGCACAATATCTTGATATTTATCTAGAGCAAATATCAGGATAAAATCATTGGCAATATTTTCGCCGAACTCAGAGCATTGTGACTGACTGTTCACTATGATATAATGTTCTATCTTTCGAATACCGCGAAAAGCATCAAAGTGTGCCAAAAAAACAAAGGAATCAATGCGGCCAGAGTTTTATGCAGAACTCATAATGCAGAATCCCGAACAAAAATAGAATGCGTTCGAAGGACTGAGATATTGCTACAATGCCCCAAAGTTTGTTGCTGTTGGATCTCAACTTGTAGCTTCAATGCCTTCTGGCGGGGACCAACCGATCTCGAGGGTCGGCCAAAAGTCTCGTGTCATCAATCCGTTTACACATCTCGGCCAACAGTGGCCACTGGTCGGGCCATTGACGTCATTGTTATTACACAAAAGGCTGTATCAAATATAGAATTAGTTGTATACGCTATATCCACATATAGACGGGGCGATCCAATACATGTCGAGGACGTTGTCGTGCCACTTGGCAAATAGACAGAAAGTCTGCTGCCAAAATTCTCACTTTAATTCAATTAATTATTGTATTTTTATAGATGCTTATGCTTGTTGTTGTTGTTAGTGCTAATGCCAACACTGGCGGGTGGCTATTAATAAATTCTAAGAAAAGCACAAAAGCGACAACGCGATCATGACGATGATCATCAAAATCAAATTTAAATTCGAAAAACAACGCAACGCAACGAAACGAAACGAAGCGAAACGAAAGCGAAAGGCAACGTCATGACCTCGTTCAATCCCCAAATATATATTAAATCTTGTATATTTATATTGCAGCTCTAGATTGCTATGTGTGCAGCTCCTCGGAAAGCTACCAAGATACCTCCTGTGTGGACAATTCCGGGGCACTAAAGGTGCTCAACTGCAGCAAGAAATACTGCGTTACAGTGCGCAAGGAACTAAGGGTGAGTGTTGGAGTACCTTGGGGATATGGATACAAGATAAGGTTTAAATTAAGACTTGAAAAATTCATCATGAGGAAGTTTAAGATTTAAAGAGACTCTAGGTTTTAAAGCTTCCCTTAGACAAATATGATATTCCGTTTTTTAGCTCCTCTATCATAATATATATTTCAAAATATTCTTAAAAATATAGAAATTTGCCTTTAGCATATACGAGAACATGTTCCCTTGATGCAAGCACCCATCACCATGAGTGTGGGAAAACTTTCCCCCCGGGTCGTAAAAACGCCCGTGGAACGTGCCACAAATGTTCCCGAGCGCCGGCAAAATGGGAATTGCGGAGCGTTTAACTCTTCACGTATGCCACCAGCAATCTGCAGACACACTACCAGTTCCCAGTTGCTGCCGCATCGCAGCTGTTGTGGCAACAAAGTAACACATGGAATGCTTGATTTTTATGCATCGCTCAACTTTGTTTGGCTAAATGTTGCCACAGCGAAAGTTTCGCCTCTTTCTGAAATTAGCGACTCTCACGTAAAGGACAAGAGCAAACAAAAAAAAAAACCAAAAGGAAATGGAGGGAGCCATTAAATCGTGCCAGCACTCTACTTCGACTAATTGAATCCAGAGCTGCAGCCCACGCGGCGTATGAGCAATGCGAGAATGTTCAAGGAGTGTAGGGCCTTTCATTCAGCAAGAATGTTGCTTAATCAAAGATCATGTTCTTTAATTAACTCTCAAAACTAATGGGAAACACTTGAACATACTATTTGTTATTCTTGCACAAGCAAAAATTAAGCATTACTTGGGGAGTTAAAGACCAATATCCATTTGGTGCATAAAATCAATTTAAATATTCAATTTTTGCAATTTAAACAAAGAGCTGGTTGTTTTGTTGAGAGGACTCTGGGCTGCAATCAAATGCAAAAGTCCTGCTTATTTTTCCAGCGCGTTTTTCAACGTATTATTAAGGGACCACTTCTGGCTTTAATTTTCAACAGTAAGCGGCTCAAATCAGAAGAGAGAGCAGCGGGCTCTGGCAGACAGACAACGGGCGTAAAATAAGCAAAAACAGCGAAAAACAAAGTGCATAAAAAATCCATTACCATAATTTAATGGAAAGCCAAATAGGCGTATAAATACAGGCACATATACAGAGCCACCCACAGCCAGGATCCCAATCTCTTGGCTAGAAGGCTTAGGCCAGCTTACATCTCCTCCCACCCGCAAAATCAACTTTCTCGCCTGTCTTTCTATGGCCAAGATGAGGTTTCGAAATTTGCAAGTGCCTCATTAGATGGACCGAACTTGCTGATTGAATTTTGGGGGATCAAAGAAGCCATCGTCCACCTACCTACTCTATCTCAAGCCAAACTATCTATCTATCTGTATATGTTATGCGCATTGCCTGGCAAACTGCAATGCAATTAAAACTTGGCCCGGAACTTTCATCCCCTGTGTGTCCCCAGCATGAACTTTGTTTACGCATTAGCTTTGGGGTTTTAGATTGCTTCGGTGCCGCATCTCTGTACATTAATTACTTTGCCACTGAAATGGGGCCAAATGCAAATTCGAATCCCGAATCGCGAATATGTAGGAGCTTGAGGTGGGAAAGCTGTCACTATCGTTAATCAGTCACCGAGATATTAGTGATGTGAACTCTCTATTCCCATTTCCATTTCAGCGCAACTCGAGCAAGGTGGTGTCCTTCTCACGGGGCTGCGAGGATGTTCCAGAGGTAAGTCAACTATCTGATATGTAATAAATAAATCAGAGATCTCCTGGCTCCGAACTTACATTAATAATTATATCCCAAATGGCCAAACTGTAAATATTTATCAATATGCTAGTTTAAACACTTGATGTCAAGTTAATGTATTAAGAATTATACAATTTATATTGATAATGTTTGCCCTTTTAACAGATGCTATATGGCAACATACCAGATGAAAACTTTCGCACTTATTACACATCCTGTCAGAAGGACTTGTGTAATGGCCATAATGGACGGATTAAGAACTCCACAAGTGGAACAGGAGCCATCCATAACGCCATTGTTCCCGGGAAAAATGCAGGGCATATAGTCCTGTTTTGGCCATACTCTCTTCTACTGGCCACACTTTTACCACTTTTCAATAAATAAATATCAAAATATTCAGTTTTTAATGTATATTTTCAAGAATATACAAAGTGTCCTTACATCTCTTAATGAGGCAATAATATTTGAAATCCCCTTCTGATTCTAGACATTTCTAGCTTGCCAAGTTCCAGTTCAAAGACAACTTTAAAGTGGAAAGCCCCAAGGGCACTTACATGGCTATTAGGCTCCGGAATACGTGCTAATTTTTGTGGTTAGAGGCCATTTGCTGGCTTTGACAAACTTTTGCGTGACTCTGATGAAGGATGCAGGATATACAGGATACAGCATACAGGATACCAGAGGCTCGCCACGAAGCCGCAACGGTAATTGCAGCGACCGCCAGGCTTTTAGGCTTTGGATCCAAAAGGTCGCCCGGCATTTCCGGCATGTCCACACGCTCAAATGGCCAAGAACGAATATGAATTTCCAGCTAATGGCGCACTAATGACGCCTATCTAATGGATTCGCTGACATCTTTACGCAATGAAAACCGAAAATTCAAGTGCGAATCGAGCAAGTGCGAGCAAGTGAAAGTGTCTCGAAGGCTGGCCCGAGCGAATGCAAGCCCAATCCGTTTATAAATTGGGTAAACAATCAGTCCGGCTGTTTGCTCAGCCCCATTTGAGTTGCACCGAATAAATCGTAAAAGAAAAACTTTTCGAGTCCTTGACTCGCTGTACACACATTTGAATTTTTGTTTGCACAGCTCCACGCATTAAAGTCTCCTTGTCGCCCGCTGCCCTGTGGAACGCCCAGGAGTTTCCAGTTTCGTTTGACACGCTTTTTGGGCGCTCTCATCGTTGCTTTTGGCCAACACCATGGCAGAAGGCAAACAGTCGGCAAACAACCAACAAACAGCCGGGACAACAACAAGGACATATCCACCACCCGCACCTCCTCCGCCACCGTTGACATGACAAGTGGCCGGTGACGCCCCCATCGCGTTTCCCGGAAAATTTCATTCCCGTTCCGACATCAAAAATCGAAACTCAACCGAGAGCCAAAATGGCAGTTCCATCAGCCGGACATGTGCTCGGGAAAATTGGATAAAGCGCGGATAGAACACGGACTTCCCTTTAGCTCAGGAAAATATTTCACTTTGAATATTCAATTAGTTGCACTTTCAATTCGAGTTATTCAAATTATTAAATGTTATCCCAGTGGGACATGACAATCTCAATAAAAGCAAATATACAGCTTTTATTACAAATACTTGGCGGAATAATTTAAAGAATTGGCTTCCTGAATATAACACATTTGACATTTGAACTTTTACCCTTTTACCATCTCTTTGAAATGAAACAAAAGCAAGACAACCTAACATCATAAAATGAAAAGAACCCCGCACTTCACATTCAAAAAACAAATTAAAACATTTTGAAACGGTCCCCAGTACTTTGTTTATTAAACAAACATATACACATTCGCAAGTAATTCATAAAACATGAAAGCTAAATAAACTTTTTTCAAGACGACAAATTCGGGGCATTTCCTAATTAAAACGTTTTCAGTCACGTGAAGAAACAAGCAACTTGTACAAACAATTATTTATAATTTTTAAATGAAGATAGCAGCAAGAATGCAAACGTCAAGGTGGAAGATGGGTACTTAAGAAACGCCTGGCTTTCGGGCAGGAAGTCATTTTTTCTCGACAAATATTGACTTGATCCCAATAGCCAGGCAGCGCCTTCGAAGAAGTTGAAAGCATTCCTCCAGTCAACTTGAGGTGTGTGTTTTCCACAGATCCCAAGTGAAAGGTGGGCGGTGGAAAATGCGATGCTCACTTGACAGTGGCCACCGCAGCGGACTATAAACAACAGAGGTAGAAGAAAATGGCCAGCGGTTTCGGTACACTTTTCCTTTCCCATTCCCATTTGCAGTTAACCATTTGCAGTTCCCCCACAGAGATCAGGGGAATTTTCTTCATTTCCTTCTTTGCACAGGGAAAAAGATCGGAAAGTTGTCAGGTAAGTAGGCCAATCCATAAAAGGTAATTAATTAATATGCCTTATTCATCAGCATTTCAAAGAAAATCAGCACCTAAAGAAATGATTTCTCTTTATACATATTCAAATCCGAATTGTTTATGATTAGATTCGTTTTTTTATAATGCCATAACAGTTTAGTTTAGAATTTTAATCTTCCATTAAACAAAACTCAATATTTATACCCTCGAGGGTATTATAACATAATTTTACCCTGAAAGTTTTTAAAGGAGTCATTTCCGACCCTATAAATCATATATATTCTTGATCAGCATCAACAGCCAAATCGATTTAGTCATGTCCGGAAGAAAATAAATTTTTTGACATTTTTCCAAAATTTCAAAATTTTATAAGGGGTTACATCGTTAAAATTTCAGAAAATTGCAAAAAATGTTGATTTTAAAATCAGTATGCAGATTTATTAACCTCATCAAAACTATAACAGGACAGCTTTCCGAATTGAAATTAATGAATTTTTGGCTTAGTTATGGAATTTTTAACCTTGATTTGTATAAAAAAAATGTATAAAAAGAAACGTAAATATGTATGGAAAAATACAATTTTAACAAATTTCTGAACGCCATAAAATGGCCATAAAGCCTATGATTGCCAAAATTCGTATACTCTCCGATTCGCCATTAAAATCTTAATTATTTTATAACAAATACATTAGAGAAAATTTTTTTGAAAATGTTATCCAATTTTTGAAATTTTTTAAAGGGTTACATCATTAAAATATCCGAAAATTGGCAAAAATTTCCATATTTTTACATTTTAAGTGTAGTATGCAGATTTATTAACCCCATCAAAATTATCACAGGACAGCTTTCCGATTTCAAATTAATGCATTTTTGGCTTAGTTATGGAAATTTCTAACTTTGATTTATATAAGGATAATATAATATAATATAATATAATATAAAGATTTAATAGTGTAATATATATTTTATAAAAGAAATTCCCTCAATACTAGGCAAAATGTATGTCTCAATCTAAGAAAATCTCTTCATGTTTCCCTTAATGTAGAAATCAATCGAAAAATTTGCAATATAATTTAATTTTTACCAGTTCCTAACCACATTTTCCCTACGTGTAAAACCGTAAAAATAAAGGTGTGCACCCTGCATCAATTGTAAATTCAGTTGTCTTGAAATGGGGACGCCGCAAAATGTTGACAGTTCTCGTGGGGGATGGGTCCACATTTCTGAGTCAGCGGGTTGTCTGCGCTGATGGCCTGTGGATAGGATGGAATGGGGTTGGCCTGGGTTCGTGGGGAATTGCAAATAGTTCTGGCCGATTGTGATTCCTCCTCGGTCTGGTTATGGCCAATTGCCATCCAGCCGACAATGGCTTCGTCCCGCGCCCGATAATACCGCAAGTGCGTTGAACTTTTCCGTCTGGACAGCCAGTCTGGATGTCTCCGGGACCGGGTAATGAAAATGGAAAATGGGGGAGGGGAATTGGAAATAATGACACAAAGCGAGAAGGAAACTGCGTGCCGGAAACTATGCAGCCCTTGTCTGCAAAATGGCCGTTGCATTTGTGCTTGTATTTGCCTCTCCGTGCACCTCGTCCGATCCGGGGGATATTGTCCCATTAAAAAAGGCTATTTATTTCCCCTAAAAAACAAATAGGAAGAGTGCGAGAACAATTCACATTCATGATAAGTACTCCGGCTATAGATATGTCTCATCAAAAAAATACAACAAAAAAATTGAGCATGTGATATAAAATTTATTTTGACAAAATTCCCAGCAATAATAATACAAATAAAAAAATTAAAATCCCCGAAAGGCAACAACAGAAAATAAGATAAAGCAGCCAAAGGCGGAAAAGGCAGAAGTGAAAGTCACTTGATTTATGCCTTTGCGGGGATCTTCTCGAGAAGTGGGCTCCATGAAAACCAGCAAAAGTGGAACACATATTCGGGAAAATGGGCGTGGTGGCCTGCCGAGAGGCACGTCTGCGTTTCCCTGGCTTTTTTCCATTCCACAATTTATACAATTTTTTTGTTTTTATCCAGTTTCTTGGGTTGTTTTCATTCTGGGGCTAACCAATGAATAAAATATGAGCCAAGAGCTAGGGGTTTGCGGTTTTCCTTTGCCAAATGTAAACTGTAGCCAAGTAATTAAAATGAAATAAATAAGGGGTAATATAATTAAAACATTGGTATTTTTTAGCTAGAAAAAATACAAGTTAAATATACTAGACTTTGGTTGCAGCTTAAAGTACTGAAAATACAACAAACATACTGCATAGTAGCGATAACTTCACACAAGGACTATCGAATAGTGTTGGACAAAACCACGTGACACATCCGCATCCGCTCCTAAAGTTCGTTGGAAATCTATCAATTTTTAAAATAAAACAAAACCTATACTGTGACTTTTAACCCGCCCACTCGTTTTTTTTAAGTGTGAAGGATGCTCATCAGAAAGAATACAACAGAATAGATGGCTTCGCCTGGGCCAACTTATCTTTGGCTTCTGTAAGAGGCTGTAAAAATAATTGCTTCGCTCACCGATCTTTACAGAAATGATTATTGATGAACACTTTGGCCTATTTTATCAAAATCAAAGCGGACGCGACAACGTCACCATCGCCGCCACTCAATGAAGCGTGAAATGCGGACCGACATCGCGGGCACAGCGCCAGCACTCATTAAATCTTGCGAAAGCTCAACCCGCCCCGCCCAGAGCACTCGCCTGGCCTGGCACACCTTTGGATACGGATGGACCGGCCACCACATAGGACCGACCCACCGACCGATGGGGATCATCAGGGCAGCGGGGGTGAGTAGATGCATAGATTTATTTTTTTGGCAAGTGCCAGCGCCAGCGAGCCGATGACGTCAAACGGCGGCAGCCGGCAGACTTTCAGCCGAGACCAATTTGACCAACCTTTCAATCTGTTTTCATATCATTTTTGCAGGCACGCGTAGGTGTCTTCACGAACCACGTCTCCAGGAAATCCCCGTGAATCACCCGGGGCATGGGATTTGCTCCTGAGCTGCCGGGGATTGTGTAAACAGAAAAGTCACCAGGGGAATTCGCTGTGAAAATGCCAGGAATGCCAAAATATTGATGGAAGCCAAGCCGAGAGGCTTTTAACGTCGCGTGCCAATCGGTCCAAGATCCGTTAATGTACTATATAGACATGGGGGGAACAGGATGTGTGAGACTGCGAGTGTAATTCCATAGCTGACAGCCAGCGGCATTATCATCTCGAGGCGACAAACAAAGATCTCCCGCTGAATGACCAGACACATTTATTTGTTTACGCTGGCGTGTTGCCTCATCTTGACAATCAATTAATTTCCTCCTTCTGCTCCTCCTCCCCTGGGAAGGCTCCACAAAGGCAAGTGGCGTCGTCGTTGGCGCTAATTGTTTTTAATGAAAATAGCTAAGGATTTAATAAGGAAGGCATCGCGAATGGATTTTAAAAGCCATTTCAATTATGCCATAAGTTTCCCATCATCCGGAGGAGGGAAGCGAAGCTGGCTACCACAACGATGACGTCAAGGATTGCAGCACACAGGCCAAGTCCTATGCACATGTAAGTATATATATATATACAGATATATATATGGATTTGATCATCTTTGTCCGCCCCAAAGTTCACTGACATCCTCCTGAGACTGCTGATGCTGCTGCTGGTGCTGGTGCATTCGACGAAAATAGTTTTCCCCGTTTTTAATGAGCTGACAAGAGATGGCAAGCTTTACCAAATAATACAAAATGGCCGACTTGTACTTTGCATAATTTGGATTTGCATTTCCATAGAGAGCATTCGAGGTAATTAAAATTCGGCAACAAGGCACTTGCAATTATAACTAAGGCCAATCTCAGCTAACTATTTCACAGACACTCAGTGACAGAGGCCCATCATCATCCCGGCAACAGCCTGTCGACAAATTTGTTTTTTCGCGAAAATTTCCACACACGAAACAACAATAAATACAGAAAAGAAGGAGGTTAACCAATTTGTTCGCTTGCGGCTGCCGAAAGTGACAACGGAAAAACACGGCGGGCTTGGAGGGGGTGGGTGCTCTTTACAAATGAGTTTCCGTATTTCATTGAATGCATATGCAATTGCATTCTTGCTAAAAATATACATTAAACTTGTTCATTTTTCTCCCATTTTCACTTTCAGTCGTTCAGTGCTTAAAAACTGAGTCAATGCGATGCGTGGGAGGAAATGCAGATACAGAGGCAGATACAAATGCAGCTGCAGAATTTTAATGAACCATAAGAGCCAAAAATAATATTCTCAGACAAGTCAGCCAGCCGCATAAACACGTCAATTGAAATAGAAATGATGGCGAAAATGACAATTTAAGTCCGCGAATATATCTGCGTGGGCCGATGGCCAAATGCAAGGAGTCAATGCGCTCATTAGGCCAACTATTTGCCAAGAAAAAGCGAAAGTGATGCGAATGTGAATATGAGAATCAATCATGGGAACGCCAGCGGAAAGAGTTGACAGTCGGGCCGAAAAAAAAAACCCAAAAACAAACAATCGATTTGGAAGTTCAGGGTCCTTTTTCATCCCCGAAGGTGAGTGAGTTGCTGAACCCACTACAACGTAGAAACTAAAACCAAACTAAATGTCCCTGAAAGTTTGCCAAAATTGTGGCTAATTTGTCAACATACAGCCAGGCAGAAAAACAAAACAAACAGAATATCTGTGCAATGCTTAAAAGCGTGTGATGAATACAAATATTGCATTTATTTTTTAAGTATTAATTTAATCGGTATTTAATTTTATCTATACCGTTTATATTTCAAACTATAACCGCTTTTTTGATTACCTCAAACTATGATAGTTAAAAGTCATTGTATAAAACAGAATATCGATGTATCTATCAAGTATCGCATAGTTTTAATAACCATTAACATTACATTTACATTTACATTAAATATGAAAATAATTTGTGAAAACATATCGATATTATCTGCGTTGACTATTTGTAACGTCTAAAATTGAATTCAAATTAACTTCGTATAGACTTCTCCGAAGAGAAAGATGCTTAGATCACAAAAAGATTTAATTAAACAAATCTAATTCCCCTGAATAGTAATTTTCCTTAAAGCTTTTAAACCCTAAAGGGCATAACCTTTTCTGTTTTTCATAGAATCCTTATAACTTTCTTTCTTCTCTTGACATTTCTCAACAGCACTTTAGTTAAGTTTGTTACCTTGAGTTTTTCCTCACTTTTCCAGCATTCAACGCAAGCGAGTAAGTTCAATAAGAAAAGTGCAATTTTTCTGTTGCAAATGCAATTTTCCAATAAGACTTAAAGCCTGAGCCCTTTTGAGCAGCTTACTACAGCTGTAACCAACAAAAAAAAAGTCGGTGGGGCAGCAATAAATTTACTAGATACGCTTCTGTGTTCCAGTCTATTTCTCAATTCAATTATGACTGCCTCCGTCCTGACTTTTATGCTTTCACCCAACTTCGTTTGTCGGCACTAAAAGTTGTCGCTAGATTCTGTTAAATTTCATTCCTGTGAGTTAGCGATGGTCCTAAATGAATTATTTTGAATTCAATCAACCGTTGGTCCTCGTAAAAGTATGCAGCACATATCGATATATATGCCATTTCCATAGTCTGACCGTAGGCAGTTCTGCGCTTCGCTATCGACCGATAAATTGCGAAAATCTAGCAGGCGACTAGCTGTCAGAATAGAAAGCTCATTCCTTTTTACAGCCATTCTTTCGAAAATTGTCGCAGCGAGCAGAGCTCTGGAAAAGCACAAACTAAAAAAAAAAAACTAAATTCCTCTCATTGAGTCGTTGTAGTCCGTGTCGAGCAAATAACTTGGTTTTCGCATCCGGCATTCGCGTGTCCGCTCTTGTTCAGATCAATACTCCAAGTCCAGGCCCCCAAGTCCATCTCGAAGACAGACAGACGCAAGTCGCAAGTCATTTCGCACACGCATCCAACGCAAAGGGTAAGAAGCAGAGTGAAGCAAAGATGGTTACCGAACCGATCGCCGTTGTTGCCAAGTCGAGCAGCACCAAGGAGGTGCAGTGCCAGCACTCTGGCCTCGACGAGCCCATTCCGGAGCCGACTCCGGGCATCATGGTCACTCCGAAGAGCGGTCGCGTTGGCATCTTCAACGCCGAGGACTTCTTGTCCCGTGCCCAGATGAACGACAAGATCAACAACATCCTTCGCTCGCCGACCAAGGCGTCCAACGGGGTTCGCCAACGCTCCGTTTACACCAACAACCCATCGCCGGTAAGTGCTGTCACTTTTGACATAAAATTTTCACCCCCCTCCACTTTCCTCCAACTGTCATTCGGGTTCCTCCAACTGTCATTCGTGTTCCTCCAACTGTCATTTCTGTGGGTCTTCATTTTCACAAAAGAGAAAATGCAAGTAGAATGTATCAAAATGAGTGATTGTAAACCTTTTAAATAACATTTCGTATATTTTAAGATTAGCTCAAATGTATAAAAAAAGTTAGGTAAAGTGTTTTCATTAATAGATCCTATAAAGAACTTTTTTTCTCTACCTCCTAACCATTAGCGTGCTCCTATGCGTTGCGTGCCCTTGTGGTCCGACCCATTGAGCTCCCGCATGAGCGCCATGTCTCTGAGCCCCAGCCACATGAGGGGCATGGAGCGTGCCATTGACCGTGTCAGCAGCAGCAGCAGCCTGGGCCACAGCACCAGCGTGGGCACCAATACCGCCATACTGGCCAAGGAGTGCTCCAGCCAGACTAGCCTCAGTGCTCGCCCCTTCATGCACATGGGCATGCATGCGACTCCCCAGGCTTCGTATGGCGGACTTCAGTCGCTCGCTGGCAGCTATGATATGGTACCCTTGGAGATGGATGCCGTGAATGTGGCCCGCAATGGCAAGGCCCTGACAGGACGCTATAACTCCAACTATGGCTATGATCCTGAGAGCGCTTACTGCATGGTAAGTGTCTGATCATTACATTCTCCATGGCAGATAAAATAAAATATCCTAAATTAGCAACCCCAGGGACACCACACCCAACAGTTTCCGTCCCCAATGCCGCCACCACCTTATGCTTTGGGTCGCGTCAGCTCGCACAGCTTTGACTTTGACAACAACGCCCCACCGCCGTGTCCCGGCTCTGGACCGATTGCCATGTCCAATGGCACTATCCAGCTGCGTCTGCGCGAAGGTGTTCGGTAAGTTGGTTAGCCGGAAAGAGAGTGCTTATGAAGATTACTAAAGACCTCTACCCACAGCATTGATATGACTCTGGACAAGGCTGTGCGCGTGCTCAACCAACGCAGCATGGTGGCAGTGTCCCTTTCGCGCAACTGTAGCAATTCCGCTTTGATCCATCCCAATGGACGCATTTTGCAGAGTGGCTCAAAGGTGGAGATTGTCACCTATGACGGCATGAAGGCCAACAACTATGTGTAAGTTTTTGCGCTGTCATTCTGTATGACATTTACATAGGAAAAGAACTTTTTATAGCTGCAAATGCTTGTTCAGCATCCCTTTTAGGTTTCAAATCAAAATTCAATGTGAACCCAAACTGAAAATACAACTGAAAACCCCTTTCATTCTTTGTAGACGCTACGCCAAAATGTGGTACAAGGGCGTTAGTTTCACTAGCGAGTCATGCGCCCTCATCTATCTGGTGGACACAGCCGGTACACGCACCACCACCGACACTTTCACTGACCTGACCAAGGACTACACACTGGCAGTGTTCTACGAGTGAGACCCCCGCACACAATGCCCAGATTTCCAAAAATCAATCCAATTTCCTCTTTCTAATTAACTTCCCGCAGCGATTCGCGCCATGGACCGTCGTTTGTGCCTGATGCCCACGAGGTAATCGCCAATTCGTCCTACAACTGCGCCGAGGACGGCACTGAGGTGTACGACATCAATGGATTCCGTATCACGCAGGCTGCTGATGGTCTGGTTAAGGTCACGCGCCAGCACAAGTGCCTGATTCGCACCAGTCCAGGCAATGGATCGGCCACTCTGACCACACCCGGCATCCATTGCACCGCCTCGCTGGGCAAGACCTCGCACCTGTTTGTACGGTGAGTGCCATGAGTGCTACGATAATTAGTATTCCGCACTTGTATTTCGATATTCCTGCAGTTTATTTGCAAACATGTTGGTTATAATTGAAAATTTATTACCAATTTCAGTCGCAATGAGAAACGCATGCACTTTGATGGATCCTGTTTCATTGTACGCAACGCTGGCCACTCTGCCGGATTCAACGAGAACAACCTGCTGATTGTGTACTAAATTCTGGTCACCACGTGGAATGTGTCCGCAGCTGCGTGGACCTTCGCGACCCTTCATCATACCAACACAGACACCCAACGACACCGACACTTACATCGACTCAACCGTCGACATGACACCGTCACCCCATCATAGAATCACACACCAGGCCCTCGACGAGGAGAGGAATCAGATCAGGTTAATAGTATTAGAAAGAGCTCGAAAAAAGGCGCGTGCAACCGAAAGGAGAAAAGAAAAACCGACCCACGGAGGACAGACCTTCTATAGTTCTGTCTTCCAGGGCAATTCTTCGGTAGCTCGGCGTAGGCGCAACGCAACTATTAGGGAACTAGCTAGCTTTAGATACCCATTATATTTAACTCTATCCTCGATAATCATCACCTTTTTACGCATACCTATTTCATAGTGGTAAGTCGGTAGGGCCTCTCTATTCCTACCGACTCCTTGAAACGCTGGCAAGTTCGATCAGTGCCAGCGTTTGGTGTTAAAATCAAAAAATAATAATTCCAAACGCGTTTCACTTGCTTTTCGGCCCAAAACTATCAAAATTGCTTCTTAACTAATTTTAAAATTTTGCATTTTAACCGCAACCACCTGGATGAAAGCACCCTTCAGGAAAAAACACACAAAAATCGAAAGAAACCCTGACAATTTGAAATCGAAAAAAAATTATATATATATCTAAATTGAACTCCATATAAATGGAGGGTTCAACAAAAAACCCGTGGACGAGTTCATTGGCGTTACGTTCGGACCACGTAACGCCAGTGTAAACTCATTTAGTTCTAAGTTATCAGTTAAGATCAGTTAACCCAGTTACTGAGGTCCAAAACCGTGTTCTTCTTTTTGCTATGTCTCCACAAGTTCACACGACACCACCTAACACCCTAACAACCACTAACATCTATTAAGCACACGCAGCAAGTGAAACCGTAGTTTTCAGTGTAGAGAAATCGTCTGAAAAAAATAAATTAAAGTGTGCACACTAAGTTCGGTAAAGTACACACTATACCCTATACACTACCCTACACACTAGCACATACAGGCAATTAATTATAGAACCCAAGAAAAGTGAGAAATTGTGGAAAAGAAATACGATTTTTTTTATAAGTTAGCTTGCAAAACCACACTCGTCCACCACAGGCATCCGTGCCCAAGAAACCCAAAAACACACATCATGATACACAACCAAGTACTCACTTCTCTGATTAAGATCGTCTAGGGCTCAAAGTGTTAAACATCGCACAGTTATACGTGCTTAGCCCTTAGACAATATCTATAAACCAAAATCCTAAATAATGTACAACGAAATTTATGTGTACAAAAATCAAATGGAAAAAATACATACGTGAGTCAAAAATGTAATCAATTGTTTCAATTATGAGAATCCATTTGCAAAATTTTACCCTGAAGCTGAATATATTTAATTTTCAATGCCTCCTTCCATCTTGGCATTACTTTATGCCTTCTGTCAGTCGAGTGCTGTGGCCTCGTAAATGTACAACGAAATTGTTTTATGGCCCCAGACCCACCAGAAGGAGCTATGGCACCTGAAGTACCATCCTGCATGTGGTTCCAAGATGAAGATTCCTCGTGGCTTTAGGCTCCCCTAGCATTAATTTCAAGTTTTCTTGAGAATTTTCCTAATAAATAAATGCTTTCGGTTTGTACCTTTAAGGATTTACAACATCTTTGAGAAGCGTAATAACAATAATTTAATTTTAAGAGTAGATATTCTTCTCCTTTTATTTTATGTACGTTAAGGATATATAGAAACAGGACATTCATGGTTTTTTAAAGTCTTGGTCTTGGTCTTTACCTGCAAACAAATCCAAAAGCACAGGGATATGGGATCGGCAGTCATGCAGACAAAGCTTTCCAACAAACTTAACCTGGAGTTGGTGGAGCTGGAGTAGCGGCTTGGTAGTGGCTGTTGATAGAGATTATTGGGTAATGCTTGGGCGGAACTATGTGCCACGTCTGACTCTGTTATAAGAAGAAAGTTGTTCCATGGTTAGTGCTGCACAAAGACAGAGATTGAGAGGGCAAGAGGGTGAGCATAAGCATAAGGAGCGGTGAGCTGGTGCGGAAGCCACGGTAAGGATACAGAAGCTGTCACACATTTAAATACTTCTAAAAATGCCTTTATTCTAGAGCGAGTGCTGCGAACCAAAAGCAAAACCAGGACCCACAGAGAACCCTCAACCCCGAACACCGAACCCCGGACCGAAGTTAACTTGGAGAGGAACAATGGCACCCACTCACATATGGCATATTCAATGCTCACGCTTGCGTGACTGGGTGGGTGGAGGAGGCAGGAATGGATGTATCCGGAGACCAGCTCGTCGCCATTTGCCTCTCGCACCCGTGCCCGACATCAAACGCTTTTCACACTTAATTGGGCGTAAAATTAAATCAGAATTGATTAAAACACTGGAATGACAGCAGCAGTCGAAGCCTTGGCTACACGGTCCCAACTCCCCAAGTCGACCGACCCAGCCGAAAAATGTCTAAGCGTAAACAAACTTTTTGGTTTCAATTTTTCCAGCTGACGCATGGCACGTAGCTTCAAAGTTTCAGTCAGCAAAGTGTCCCCGTTCCCATCCCCAAAAAGCGGACTAATTGCTGCCTAGAAACTCCCAGCTAGCGACTGACTCTCCTTTGCTTTAGCAAAGTTTATCAAATTCAATTTCCGGCCAAAGGAAGAGCTGAGGAGAGCTGGTTTGGGCAGGGCATCAATTTTTCTGCATTACCATTTAATGGACCGTCAATTATGCGATTCCTACTCCCTTACACACTTATACATATTCAATCAGGCTTAATTCATGGCCATAAATCGTCGAAAGGGTTCATTTCACCTGCATTCCATGTCGGGGCCTTCGCTCCATTCGATTCCTGTGTTCTGGCCGAACCGGTGAATCAATTCAATTTCCGGCCAAACGGAGAGTGCCATCGAATTGCAACTTCCCTCGATAATTGCATTTTAACCAGGCTTCCCAGCCAAGTACACTCGACCAAAACGGAGCGAGGGAAAGGATAATACATATATCCCTTAATGCAAATCCTTAACTTAATGGGAAACGAATGGCACTGGGGGGAAATGAAAGATTATGAGCATTATCCCCTAGGGGAGGAAGGCCTTAAATTTAGCCGGTTAGAGATTACCCCAAAATTCATCAAAATTTAAGCGACTCCATCTGTCATGACGAGAACTTCAAACGAGACCAACTCCGTTGGGTGGGGCTAAGTGACTCCTCCTCCTAAATGGCGATGCGTAAGCCGAGCTGTCATCTCCCCACCGAGGAGGTGACGGCAATCAAATCAATCAGACAGACAGACCCACCTGAGCGAAGCACGCGGATCAAGTGAGTCCTCAATGGATGCTCAACCCCTTCATCCCGACACCGAATCTCACTTAGGTGGAGATGAAAGTGTGTGTGTTTGTGCAGTGGGCGAGACGGATTGCGGATGACAAGTTGCAAGTATATATACAATTATACATATATAGTAACTCAATGCCAAACTGACAGGGTTGATTGCTGCTTGCGATGCCATGCCTCAAGGCATAAATTATTCGCAAATAAAATGTACTCCAAGCCAGATTGTTGCAATCCAACTAACCAAGAACTAAAGGTGACGTCAAGAGTAATTAGACTAATTGAAAGTACATCGAAATCTCTATTTTCAGCTCGAGTGCAAGTGTGAAGTGAAGATTTCGGAGACTAATTAAAATTGCACCTCAAAGTTTGCCAAGGCTCTCAGGTCCAACACTTCAAGCCACTGTGTGTATTTGCCATTGGATTAAAGAGTTAACAGAGTTTTCGGGTCAGCAAAAATAAATTAACATTCAAACTGGGTAAATGTTTTGCAACTCGTCCAGCGCAATAACAATTGAAAAGCAACAACAGACGAGCGTCAACATTATTATAATTGTGTTTAATTAAGCTGTCGAGTAAATCCTCTTGAACACTCTAATTTGAATTGGCAGGCCAAAAAACAACAAAGGCCGAAAGAGCCAGAGGGCCAAATACTTTTGCCTTAATCCACTTGGTCGAAGCCAAAAATGCTTTATAAATGGGCAAGGGATGCCAAGCCACCCGACTGAAGCCAAGTTTTGGCCTGATGAACGGGGATACTTGGTAAATTGTCCAATATTTGCACATAACAGGCAGACCTCATACCCAAAGGTTCGATATTAAAGTTTTTTACATGGCTCTTGGCCAGAAATATTCTCTATTTGTTTGCCAAACTCGGCAGATGTCACCCGCAATCTGTGGGCAAAAACTACTGTCTGCCGAGCATGTTCTATATAGAATATATACAGCGATATGGTGGCTGCTGTCATTGTCAAGGCAATCGTAATTAAGTGAGTGCGTGTTTCTCAAATCAAAATGCATGAGGAGGTCCTCTTTAATGGAGAAACAAACTCCTCATCGCATCTCATTAAAATTTATCAGCATTTTTGTCTGCGCCTCCGATTTTCATGCTGGTTTTTGTCCCTGATTCTGATGCAGACTCCTCTGGCCCACTTTTCGTTGCCACTTTCGAAGGACGCTTTTTCAGTTGACGATTTAATTAAGTCTAATGGTAAAATGTTGTTACGCAATTAAGTCGGTGTCGTTTGTTTTTGAAAATGCCCGCTTTATAGGGACCGACTCACGTGCTGACCCTGGGCTTCCTTTTGGCCCTGGGTAGAAGCCCATTTTGGCCCACAAAATGTAAAGTGAATGCAAATCGAATTACGAGACAGCAGCAGCAGCATGAAAGTTACTCAGAACTGTTAACACCTGCCTGAAATGGGATTTGTTGCCATTTGATAGTTTGAATGAAAATTTATAGAATCCCGTAATTATAATTGCATTTAAGTCAACGCACATTTACTAATAGTATTTTATGGTAATTGTAATAGCAAATTGTCAATTATCTATATTGGTTACGTAGAGCTTTAACTATGTGTTTCTGCAAGTTTCAGTTGTTATGGATACAGACTCCAGATTCCCATTAAAGGATACAATTTCAGTGGCTTAAGCTTGGCGGTGCACTTAAAGGAGATATGCGGTGTCAGGTGTAAGATACGCTTATATGTATACTAGCGAGCAGACCCCTTTTTGGCGGTGGTTACCTGCATGCCAGGTAGCGAGCTTTTGTTCGGACAACAACAAATTGGCGAGTACTTACATGATGGGCGAGGCCATTGATGTGGTGGCCACCGTCTGCAGCAGCTCCTGTGCCCGGTCCTGCGGCACGGACTTCGCCTGACTTTGGGGCAGAGACGGCGGTATTATTCGACGATTCCTGGCAGTAGCTGGTACACCTGCCGGCGCCTCTGTCTGCGCTGTGGGTGTGGCTTTGGGCGTGGGTGTTGGCGAGGGGCAGGGGTGAGGCCGGCGGGGTGGGTTGTTGTGGAAGTGAGGGGCCCGTTCTGTTGCGTAAACGGGCCAAAGCACTCCGTAGACCCTCCGTAGTGTCTTTGTCGGGCCCCTGTCCAAACAAAATGCATCCGCAGAGCAATCCCCCAACCTCCCTCGAGCCGCTGCCTCTGAGTGCCGTCCGCTCCTGAAGCAGTGCTCCTTTGGCCAATCCAATGTCAGTCAATTAACACGAGGGCAACGATTCCCTTGATCCAAGGACATGAGTTGTCCAGCCGCAATGTTTGCTGTTTCCAATAGCCACAAAGTTGACAAGCTTAAAAGTTGTCTTCGGATTAGAGCCAATTGTTTTCACTCGATTGTGTGTTCAAGTTTAATTATTTTTAAATCGAATTTAAGTTGTCCCGTAGTATCCTAGAGATTCTGAAAATCAAATAAAAAAGAAGCTGTATTAGAAAATTGAGAAATTTAAATTTAAATTCATTGTCAGTTGAATTGATCATGAATTCTTTAATTCGTGAATTAAAAAACAGCTTTTTTGACGAATTCATGTATTGCAGGGATGATTTCGGTCTCGTATAAACGCAGTAAGAGATGCCAGACTTTATGAATAAAGAACCACTTCCTGAATTTCTTATAAAAAAAGAAAACCATTTTTAAAAACCCATTTACATATATCCTTCTTCAGCATTTGAATAGAATCTCTAGGTTTTGGGCCAATTTTGCAATATTCTTGTTTCGAATTCAGTTAAATTAATATGTTTATTTTTCACGCACAACGTTGCCACGTTATCGAATTCGATGACAACAGAAAATATTAGTGAGGCTCCATTCTTGTTGTCATTTTTAATTAAGTCGTGCTTTTTTTTTTTTTTTTTGTTCTTTAAATATAAAGTTTTAATTTAGGGAGCCTTAGGATAACCCATCAATCTACACTTATTTGACAGACGTGTTGAAAGTATTATCAATTTGTCTTTCTGGCACAAAGAAAACCAAAAAATTATGCCACTGTTAAATAATCAATATCATTGCAGGTGGATTATTTTGGTTTAGCAATGGTACCCACCAACGAAGGAGTTGACCAGAAGTTTGGATTGGTCGATTCGCACGATGCCTTCCTCGATGGCTTCCAACGTATTAACCAATTTATTAAAGACAGCTTGGTTTACCAACAGGCCAATGAAGACTATGATAAGGCCCTGTCCCAGATGGATATCTATAGCTTTCTGATTGATTTGGAACGTCGGCTACTAATACAGTTTTCTGAAGGCGACGGCAGCCAGGACGATTGGTCCTTGTTCGCAGAGATACTTAAAACTGTCGATTCAAGAAGTTCAACGGAGTTGTTTCTAACAGACAGGCTTCTCTACGAATTCAAGGAATGGTGCAAGCTTAACAAAACAGTTGGCTCGAGTACTTCGGACTCTGAATCTCAAAAAAAACGAAGCCCCTCTGTTGATGATTCTCCCTTGATCACGACTCAGAACATGGTTGAGGAGTCCGTGCCTATCGATGTTGAGATGGATTCAGCTTCTGACACCGAGGAGTCATCCAGCATGGGACAGAACGTGGTCGAGGAGTTCGTGCCTGATGATGATCAGCCGGCTTTAGCTTCTGACAGCCAATCATCCCCGACACCTCATGAGTCCACTATTGATGTTAAGAAAGAACTCACTTACGAGGACAACATGCGTGTTATGGATTTGCTCCGTGGTGCGATTGGTCAGGTGATTGTGAAGAAGTTTAACATTCAGATGCTCCGCTGTGATATCTGTACTCTGTACGGATCCAACTGGCTGAACGACAATGTGATCAACTTCTACATGGAACTCCTGAACGAGCGTTCGAAGCAGAATGTCGGCCAGCTTCCCACCGTGCATGCCATGAATTCCTTCTTCTTACCCCGTCTGATGGAGTATGGATACGGTGCCGTAAGGCGCTGGACCCGGAAGGTTGACCTTTTCAGCAAGCATATAATACCGATACCGGTGCACTTCGATGGCAATCCCAGTCACTGGAGCATGGTAATTATCGATTTGCGTCACGAAACGATCAGGTACTATGACTCGCTTGGCAAAAGCGATGTCTCCGTGCTGGTGGCCCTGAAGGATTATCTGGAGCGGGAGTCGATGGACAAACGCAAGCAGCCGTTCGACACCAGTGGCTTTAAGATCGACCATGTTAAGGATGCGCCGCATCAGTATAATGGCAATGATTGCGGCGTCTTCTGTTGCATGTATGCCGAGTTTGTGACACGCGATGCCCCGTTGACCTTTGATCAAAGTCACATGGTCACTATTCGAAAAAGGATGATACTGGAGATTGCCGACGGCAAGCTCTGGACATAAATTGTTGTTTTTTAGTACATAGTTTATTAAATTTCGATTTATTTTTTAACGAAAAGCAATTAAGAGTTGTATTCAATTCCCAAAACACATGTGTTTGCCTCTGCAATTCACAAAAACTCTTTAGAATCCTTAGTAAATGCAACGTATCTGTTGACAAAGCTACCTACAAAAAAATCCAATTAAATATGTATGACGGGGAAATAGTAGAGCACCGGGCTGTAACAAAATATTAGACAGAGAAGTTAAACAATTGGCAGCTACGAAATTGTACTCCTTTTTTGTAGCCTGGCTTTTCGGGATCCGTCCAATTTGCGCTTCGTCGGGTTACTGCAGGTAACAAAAGACCGCCGAGGTTTGTTGATGTTGCGCCGGAGGTGGAAAAAGTGAAACATAATTTCCGACACACAATTAAAAGCTGGGTCCTTTGGGTCCTCCGACCGTATTTCATATTCCATAGCATCCCCCAGGCCTGGCGTCGGCGCCCGAGACTTGGTCATGTGGCTGCCATTGCCATTTTCATGCTGTGCATGCAGAGGAGCCCAAGGCTGCCAAGGGTGAGCATGTGTCACCCAGGAGTAGAGTGGGAGGGAGCCTGCTCTGCCGGGGTCAACAGCAGAGCCAAGGAAAACAATGCGAACTTTGAATGCCCTTGTAAGACAGGAATCTTATCTTCTCAAAACATGGAATTAATGGAGGAGGTCTCGGAGAATCTATTAGTGTTCTTCTGGGAAAGCCCATACGGGCACTTTGCCAATGCACACACGAGCATCAGAAACTGAATTATTATGACTGCTGCAGGTGGGTGTAAAATTTAAACATATTTTTTCGGTTTTCACACAATTGAGGGATTTCATTTAGGGGGGCTGCCCAGGAATCATGCATGGAAAATGAGTTTCTTTTTGCACTTGAGTGCACAACATCATCATCGATACATAAAAAAAAAAACATTCACAAATCCTTTCATCGTCTTGGGGTTTCGGCTTCTGAGAGATTGCCAGGAAAGAAGCTGGATTCAGTTCATTTGAAACATAAAACTCAGGCATTGGCAATAACGTAGCCAAATAAATGCAAGCAAGTCCTTGCACGTAAGTCTACTTTCGTTCTCGTATAAACAACAAGGCAAATAATAAATAACAGAGTAGCATTTAAAGACCCAAATTAAACTTTGAAAAGATGCCGTTAGTCATTCGAAACAAATGTAAATTTACCGAAATAATCAAAGAAAATTGCGCCCCGGGGGATTTGTGGTGCCTCGGCAGACATCATTGAAGCCCTTAAGCCATCGGCTTAGGCCTAAGTCCTTGAACTACAACTCCGAGCTGAGAGGTCCCGCCTTCGGTACAAGTAAACAGGTGTATGGTGTATGCAAATGACCAAAGTCATTAAAATGTTGCTCCTGATAATAATGATTTATGGCAACTGCGAAAGGCGAGAGACATCAGCCGAGAAAAGGCAATGACAGACTCGAGATTCGGCACTCGGAACTCGGGACTCCAGACTCGACAGTCAACAGGATATGCAAGGAAAGTGAACGAATGTTTTGGTCAACAAGGTGGCCAATAAACATGGCCATAAAAGCGACCATTTTTGCGACTGGCGTATATATGAGGGGGCAATGAACAAGAGAAACCATTGTAAACGAAATCATTTCCAGGGCTTTTTTCTGCTTAAAAACTTTTCTGCCATCTCATCATTTGGGCAGTGGTGTATGTGTATGTGTATGTGTGTATGCCTTTGGGCACGCTTCGAAAGCAATTTAGTCGCCGGGGCTAGCAGCAATTATTTTCTCATATTACGTATACGCAACGCGTGCCCAATGCGATGTTAGCAGATTTATTCTTCCATTATGCGGCAAACAATTTTCTATTACGCTGCTGACTTTTCGTATTAAAAGTCAAAGAATAGAAACGCCAAATGGGGAGACGGGAATGCAGAAGCCAAAAGCTGACACAAATGTTGTTCGCCAGCATTATTTACATAATTTTTATCAAAAAAAGAGAGCAGAAAACTGTGGCATGAAATGACAACAGAATTCTCATTAAAAGCCAGGGGACTCTGCGGCAAATTAACTTTGCACCCGCCGCCACAGGCGCAGTCTGTATGTTGATGATGAGGACGTCTGGACTCCCAAGTGGTCATCGGATAAATTATGCCGCGAAAAAGGGAGAGACGGACCCCAAATGTAGTCAAACATTTGCATTCATATTGAGTCCCTTTATCTTTGGGGAAAAGCGTCAAGTGCCTCGGTGCTACCGTTAAAGTAAAATCCGGCATATGTAAATACACATTGTAATTGATTTCCTTTTCGTTCGCACATCATCATCACATCACTCATACGCAACGTGGCAACCGCAGCCATTTCCGACAGGTAAATCACCATAACAATAATAATAATAATAATAATCATTATCATTATGGGCCACCAGTAATCATCCTTCAAAGTTCCACAGATTTTCACCGCTTTCCTCCTCCTCCCACCCGAGCATCGATTATTTCCGTTTGAATTTGATTGATGTCTGCTTCCGTCCGTCCACTGATAAAGATTATATGTCCGTGATGATATTACTAATTTGCACGGCAGAGAAACAATGGAACAAAGAGTCGCTTTCCCTATACATCGATATCATCGGTCCCCTGTCAGCTCATAAATCTCATCGCAGGTGTTTTTACAGGGATGCTGGGAGAACCACCAGAAAGTCCAAGAGAAAATATATGAATGCATAAATGAATAAACGAATTAATCACTCTCGAGCGCAGCAATCGAATTCACATGCATTAATTATAATTGAAGTACTTTAATTGCTGAATTTAAGAACTCAATACGAATTCCACGAATGTGCAGGCAGCCAATTACTCAAATAATTTCGATTATGAACTTTGAAATAACATTAATTTGCGGTGTGTAATTAAATTTAGCAAGCTCATAAATTGTAATTATGGCGCTGAAAGGATTCCAATAAAATTTCCCACGTATAGTGAGGGAGTTGCGGCATTTTATTTAGTTTGAAACTCGACTTTGATGTGGCTGTGGGCCCTGTAATAGCTACTTAATTAACTAGATATATAGGGCAACTTTTGTCTGCCTCCTACCAGAGTGCCGCCTGGTGGCAAAGTAACTTTATTTGCTCGACAGAAAGAGGGTCGGGTCACAAGGCTCAGGGGATAACGACCACGACACTATTGACGAGCCGACTACAATGGGGCCCCCTGCCTCTCTATACATTCCATAGACTCCGCCCTGCCGCGACCAAGTCAAAGTCCCACTCATTCAACATCAAAAACATTCGGGAAGGCGTGCCTTTGTTTGTACGATTTCCAGTTCAATGATTAGGCCAACATATCAGCAGCAGATACAGCCCGCTCATCGCCAATGCCCACACACTCAGGCGGGCAATCGATACAGGAATGAAAGTCGAAAAGGATATGAAGCTCCCCTTGAGACTCTTCATTAAAGAGGCTCAGTGTTTGTGAATAAATTCGGAAAGTAGGAAATTCGCAACTGAATTCAACGGGAACTTTGGCATAAATTTAGGTATTAGGTGGCTTTATCTGCTGAAAACAATTTTCACTGCCTAAGCCGGAAAAATAAACTGAATGCTGGCCCGATTCAATGGACCTGTCAATCAAAGCGGTTGCCCCAACATCATTATCTCCAGCATCGTGATGAGTCCTCCACTTTTGCAGGCCAGGCCAAAGAGTCTGGCTTAACCTTTTTCGTCAAGGCTCGCCACTCAATCGGTCAGAAGGTCACCTGGACAACGAATTCGATTATCCTGGCAGGGGAGCAGCGCTTAAGGATCCTTTTGAGCTGTATCTCTCTGTGGGTGCTTTCGGTGCCACTTAATGGCAATCTCCCTGTGGGGGAGTACAGTACAGCAAGCACAGTGAGAATATTAACTGTTTAAGTGCAGTTTTGAAATATATCCTGATTGTAATATATTTTTACATTGTGCTACATTGAACATACATATAATAGAGAAAAGCTTTAAAAATGAAAAAAAAGAGAATTAAATACAAATTTCTGTCATTTTTTCCCAGTGAAACCTGTCATTTCCCGAGGGTTTTTAAAACACTGGAGGGGTAGCTGCATTCCCAATGAAATCAAATTGCCTTTTGTGGGGAGTGTCTCTTGACTGCATCGTGGCTGGCCAAGTCCAAAAGTCATTGGCCGGGACAACCAGCCAGCGATAGCTGCATTGCAAGAGAAGAGCATAAATAAGTCAATGTCTGCAGGAGCAGGAGAAGGAGAAGGAGGGAGCCATTTCCATTTGACACTGCCGCCGCTGGCATTGTGTTTGCGCAGAGGAACTTTCGACATTGAGTTATAAGTGCTTCTGCTTGGCTGTTGGCTTAATCAAGCGTGAAATAGTCCAATCGTTGTGGTATATAGATAGATGCATGGGAAGTATGATTAGGTTATTGACTCGTCTCGCACCTCTCCTTCAAAAGGGCTGTTGCGAAAGGGCGCTGCTCTGAAAAGCACTTAAGTTGCGGCTTAAACACCTAAAGACAGGGCGTGAGCTTTAGTTTGGGGATTACGCGACGTAATCGTAATTATTTCACCTTAATTAATGAAATACCAGCTCAGCTGCAGGCGAAATGCAAACACTGGAAGGGAGTTTGCGATTTGTATTTACATAAAACATGCTGGAAGGGGAGAGAGAGATCTGGCAAATCCCTAAAACGCTTTTACCCCATGAATACTATTGGCCTGTTTAAATCGCAATCAGCCGTCCTTCGCCCTAATTAACGTTATGCAAACTGGCTCTGACACTGGAATTTGCGGCAAGGATAACACCAAAGGAAATTCTAAAAGCCATAACATCTGGCATCCAATTAGGCTAATCCAGTTAGCTCCGGGGACACAAATTTTGAAGCAATTATCGTGACAAGTGAACTGGAGCTACACACATGCCTAACCAGACACAACAACAACAACAACAGCAACAACAATGATAACTGATTGATGCTGTCACCTGGTGGAACAGGAGTTAAAAAGGG